TTGTTGAGCAACACAAATGGCGGGAGAGATATCAGAGGCCAGGCAAACTTGAAGCTGAAGCCCGACCGTGTGGCAATGCAGGACGCCAGTGCACAGATGGCTCTGCTGCAGTTCATGAGCTGTGGGCTTCCGACAACAGCGGTACCAGCAAGTATACACTGCGACCACCTTATTGTCGTAAGTATCATTTCGTCATTTTGCCTTTGTCGTAGAGCCTTGGTACTGATACACTGCCAATAGGGCGAGAAGGGCGCCGAAGCCGATCTTCCACAATCTATTGCGGGCAATAGTGAAATTTTCGATTTTTTGGAGTCGGCGGCAAAGAAATATGGAATCGAGTTTTGGCCACCGGGTGCGGGTATCATCCACCAAACCGTGCTGGAGAACTACAGTGCACCAGGTGTAATGATTCTAGGAACTGACAGTCACTCACCGAATGCTGGCGGACTTGGCTCCATTACCATTGGTGTAGGTGGTGCAGACGCAGTAGATGCTCTAGTAGATGCGCCATGGGAGCTCAAGGCACCCAAAGTCCTGGGCGTCAAGCTCACTGGGGAGCTAAGCGGATGGGCTTCTCCAAAGGACGTGATTCTGAACTTGGCTGGTCAGCTCACAGTCCGGGTACGTGGCATCGACGATTGTGTAGTGATCTATGCTAACAAATGCTCAGGGTGGTACTGGTTACATCATTGAATACTTTGGCCCTGGAGTGCAGTCTTTGAGCTGCACTGGCATGGCGACTATCTGGTAAGAGTATAGTCCTCTGATGTTTCGCGATTATGACTAACAAGAGTAGCAACATGGGTGCTGAAGTTGGCGCAACTACATCGCTCTTCCCCTTCTCTCCAGCACATGTTCCTTACCTACAGGCCACACATCGTGGATCCATTGCTGAAGCAGCCACCAAGATCTCTCAATCACCAATGCAACAAAATCTCTTGCGATCTGACCCAGATGCCGTCTACGACAAGGTCATTGAAATTAACCTCTCAGAGCTCGAACCCCATATCAATGGACCCTTCACCCCTGACCTATCAACACCTCTCTCCAAGTTCAAGACAGTAGTTGAAGAAAAGGGATGGCCAAAAACATTTGGTGCAGGTCTCATTGGCAGCTGCACGAACAGTTCTTACCAGGATATGACCCGTTCAGAAGAGATTGTGAAGCAGGCGTCAGCTGCGGGCCTTAAGCCAAAGGCTGACTTTTTCATCACTCCAGGCAGTGAACAAATCCGGGCAACACTAGACCGAGATAATACTCTATCTACTTTTACTTCAGCGGGAGGCACTGTTCTGGCGAATGCTTGCGGGTGAGTTACCTCAACATCTCCTGTAAAAAACTCGCAATACTGACATACTCAATGACCTTGCATTGGTCAGTGGAAGCGCACAGACGAGGTCAAGAAGGGCGAGTCGAATGCCATCTTCACATCCTACAACCGTAATTTTCCTGGTCGTAACGACGGCAACCGTGCGACAATGAACTTCCTCGCATCCCCTGAACTCATCACTGCCATGGCATACTCTGGTTCCACAACCTTCAACCCTATGACTGACAGCATCCCCACGCCGTCTGGCGAGCCTTTCAAGTTTGCGCCACCAAAGGGCTCTGATCTACCTTCTGAGGGATTTGCAGATGGTAACCCAGATTTCATGCCCACACCGGGTGTACCTAATCCGGACGTTGAGGTCGTTGTATCGCCTACCTCTAGCCGTCTGGCACTGCTCGACCCCTTCCCGGCATTCCCTGACTCTGAGTTTACAGGGCTTCGCGTCCTCTACAAAGTCAAGGGACAGTGTACAACAGACACCATCTCTGCAGCCGGCCCATGGCTCAAGTACAAGGGCCATCTGCCCAATATTTCTGAGAACACACTCATCGGTGCAGTCAACGCGGAAACAGACGAAGTCAATGTTGCTTATGATGTGGATGGCAAGAAATCTGGTATTCCTGAGCTGGCCAAGAGGTGGCGCGATCAAGGTATCGAATGGCTTGTCGTGGCAGAGCACAATTACGGCGAAGGCTCTGCACGTGAGCATGCTGCTCTGCAGCCGCGTTACCTAGGAGGACGCATCATCCTCGCCAAGTCTTTTGCCCGAATCCATGAGACCAACCTCAAGAAGCAAGGTATCGTACCTCTGACATTCGCAAACGAGGCCGACTACGATGCTTTTGCGGCTTGCGACCAAGTTGCCACAAGGGGGCTGCTGGATGTATTGAGGAGCGGTGGTAAGGGAGAAGTTGAGTTGGTTCTCAAGAAGAAGGATGGCAGCGAGAAGGTAGTCAAGACGAAGCACACGCTCTCGCAAGATCAGTGTGGCTTCATTCTTGCTGGCAGCGCGCTCAACCTTTTGGCAAGGAAGGGAAGAGAGATGAAGGAGGAGATTACTAGGAGTGCCGAATTGACTGACTAGAAGTCGGTTAACTAGATGGAGAGGATGCAGACAACTAAGATCTCAAAAGGAAACGGCGCATGGCGCTGGTGGTTTATAGTTCCCGGGTATTTCAGCAATCAATGGCAGTTCAGACGTGTATTGAATAACCGCTTCATGATTTGTGGTTTCCTTATTACTACCTTGGGTTTTTGAGTGGTTTTGCTGTAAGACCTAGGAATTTGAATGATTTCACTGACTTCTCCGAAAAGGCCCACTAATAATGCCGGGTCACGTGGGGTGTGTATTAGCTTCAGATGTCTCACCTCGTGTTTCCTTCCTAGATCAATCTCAGCACGCCATGAGAGACTTGCTAACCACTACATGAGCCAATTGTGGGGCCACAATCAAAATGCTCTGTAAAATCAATTAGTATCGCATGGCAATGCGTCGCCGGCGAACTCGTGGAGAAGAACTTTTGTCAATAAGCAGAATTCTTCGTTGAAGATCTTTTACAATGGCAATGAAACCACGTGCCATAACGGCAAAGGGACTGCAGTCACTCCTTGTACGCACCGGTTTAGCATCATCAGGAATCAAGCCAATCCTCGAGGAACGCTTTCGGCAAAACTTGACCAAATCCCGTCTCTTTGCTCGTCATCCAGAATGGAAAGCCTCGCGGCCTACAGACCAAAAACTCCGTATCATGAGCATCGACATGGGCATCAAGAATCTAGCTTTCTGCGAGGCCGAAGTCTCATACCCGGTGAAAGACAGTCTGAATGCGAAGATGGATGTCTTGAGGTGGGAAAAGGTGGATCTTGCTTCTGCAAGACAACAAGGCGCGACTGAGAGTAGCCAACTAGACACGGCCAGACTGAGTGACGCGGAAGCGGACGCAGACGAAGACGTGGACCCTTATTCTTCAGACACTTTGTCTAAAACTGCGTACAAGCTCATCAGGGAAACGATACTATCTGGGTCTCCGGATGTCATCTTGATTGAAAAGCAGAGGTGGCGATCAGGTGGTGGTAGCGCGGTACAGCAGTGGACGCTTCGCGTGAACACCTTGGAAGGCATGTTATGGGCCGTGCTGGAAACGATACAGAACGAGACAGGCGCCGCCGAGACAAACGAGGAAAAGAAGAGACTATACGACGTTTTTGCCGTAGATCCAAAGCGCGTAGGACACTACTGGCTTGGACAAAATGCCCAGCGTCTTGCCGTCGACGAAGATACTTCCTCGCCCGCAAAAGACATTCAAAACGAAGCGGAAGGCCAGCCCCAACTCAGTCGCTCCAAAGCCGAAAAGAAGGCTAAAATTGCCCTCCTGCGCTCTTGGCTCACTGCATCTTCTCCCTCGACCTCATCCACAATCACTAAATCAACGCCCTCAATCTCCTTCGTAATTAGCGATCACGCACAACCCGCCTACCGCACCCTCTGCTTCCCCTCCACATCCACCCGCCGGAGGAAGAAGAAGAAGAGCAGCGAACCCGAGGATTCAGAGAACTCACTCGGCGATATCTCCAGATCCGACATGAGGAAACTGGATGATGTCACAGATTGCTTTCTCCAGGCCGCGGCGTGGGTGAGCTGGGAGTCGAATCGCGCGCAGCTATGCGATATTTGGAAGAGGAACATAGGACGGGATAGCGGTGGGATGGAGGACAAGGAAGTAGATTTGAGTGAATTGAATAATGATCGGTTGCTGGAGATGTGGGAGGAGGTTGAAGGGTAATGGGTGGGCTGCATTATCACTATTTCTCTTCTTTGCCCCTGTCTATCGTATTGGTAACAGGGCTGCATGAAGGAGGTTTACTGCGACTTTTTTTTCTTACCTTCTCTGGATTTCGAATCGGATTTCTTTTTAAGAGAGAGAAAAAAAGATAGTAGGCCTACAAAGCTGTTGGATACTAATAAGGTTTCCGTAGCTCGATAGTAGTGTCGAGCACTTGTTCTACCGCAACACGAGATAACCCCCGCTTTCCGTTCCCCACAGCCATGACGTTTCTAGCCCTTGCACCTAGCCCCGCCTCTCTCAATCATGGTGCCGAAACTTCACATTCATATCGTCGCATCCCCTTTGCTATAGAAAATTTTTTCGGTATATGAAATGAATAGTTTTGAAAAATTTCCAGATGTTCATAAAACTTGTTCAACAAGTCTCGGTGGCGCAATGGTAGCGCGTTGGACTTCTATCCTTAAGCTGTGTAAAAATTTGCTTTGTCCGGTTATCCAAAGGCTGCGGGTTCGAGCCCCGCCCGAGATGCTTTTTTTTGCTTTTTAGCATTGTTTTTTGCGCCTTCTTTCGTCTTGTCTCTGTTGATGATTCTCATAGTGACGAAGGGGGAAGATGTGTGGCTGTAATTCTTTTTTGTTCGTTTGTGATGGGCAGAGAGTGTGAGAATATGTGGTAGGTAGAGCGGAACAATATTTATTTGCTTATGTTGGGTATAACTATGTGCGTATATGTATATATATGTTTATGATGAGTGGGAATCAAAATATTCCAAGTCCTTGTAGGAACACCAAACGTTATATACTCATGTACTTCAAACCCCCAAATACACCCAACCAACCCCCTTTCCTGGATCTCTTTCTTTTTCCCCCCTTATTTCTTCCTGTTCAACCCTCACAAATCAGATCAAACTCTGGGAAATCCGGATCAGGCCCGATATTTGTACTCGCAACCGCAGACTTGAAGTCTTTGACCTTGGCACTCTTTTGCGCATCGAGGCATTTGTCTTTTCATCAATCGTATTAGTAAGAAAATCTTTTCGAAGGACCAGGCGAAAGAAGAGGGGGGGGGAAGGCGAATAAGTTAAAGTAGGAAGAGGGAGAGAGAAGAAAAAATGAATAAATACTAACTCTTTTGCTCATCACAATCATTAACCTTTAACCCTCCATCTTTGCCCCCACCACCCCCATTCCGATTCGCCTCGCGACTGCATCCTTGCAGCTGCTCGTCGCAACTTCTCTGGGCGGCAGTTTCGAAGTCTGGAAACGTATTTCCTTCGACTTCAAAGGGTCGGTCGTCTTTTCCCGAGTTGGTGATTGGGGGTGCGGGCGTGTTGCCGAGTTTGCCGTCAAAGGTTTGAAGGTTGGAGAGTTGACGCAGGAAGAGGGTGTGGCGTGGTATTAGGGATATGTCGGCTGTGGAGGAGAGGAGAGGGGGTTGGGGCGAGGCATGGGAGAGGGCAGGGAGGGCGAGGTGGAGGAGGGCTAAGAGGGTGGAGGGGAGGAGGAGCATGGTTGTTGTCGAAGTGGGTGAATTGTATTATGGTCGTGAAGAGGGTCGTTTGGCGTAATGAAGTTCGTTCCAGACAAAGTATTATGATTATCGACCGTGCAGCACGTCCTCTCCCCGGTATAACGTTTTCCAGCCGGTATAGGTATCGTGAAGTTTTTTTTTTTTCAAAAGGATCGTCCCGGTATAGTATCCAGCCCAAGTCCGAGTCCAACTGCCCAGCAGTCTCTTTTCAGTCGCACCAAGGAAAATCGGACAGGTCAAACGAAGGAAAGAAGGAAAACAACGAAACAAAAGCCTGGAAAATTGGCAACAAGACTCAGTCTGTGTTTCCAAAACAGGTACGAGTCCACCTCTTTCTCATCCGTACAAGTGATACCTACGACGTAGCGCCGAGTAAGCACGGCGCGCGTGGGCGGGGCACGCATACTTATTTATTAGCTATTTGCTAGGTTGTTGCAAAGGGGCAAGAGGAATGGCTGCGGAAAGACAGCCTTGTTCCGTCTCGTTGCAATGCGAGCAGGGGAAACGGCGTGTTGCCGATGCACACTGCGACGGTGCTGAAACGCCATCACACGACCATTTGGTGTGACACGGTCAGGAACACACAGAAGATTTGTGTGGAGATTAGGCTATAGGGGAAAGGGAAAAACAAAAAAAACACGCATTAACATGTCGACGTAATCCAGCACGGGACAGGGAAGCCATGGTCAAGGTATATGTAATTACATTCGCTATTGTGGGGGTATGATGATAATGACCAGTCGCATAGAACTCGCACGCTCCATTACAAACTTTTCTCGAAACAAGCATAGAATGCAAATGCAAACAATGCAGACAGAAGAGATTGACTAGACAAAAGAGTTTTGCAACTTCTTTTGGTGTGATGTTTGTTTGTTAGTATATACTGCCCATTGGTGGTGACTACACACTGAGCTCAAGTAGCTCGCGTCCGTCTCTTAATGACATTCTACACTATGAACTCCAAGGCGGTGGGTAAACCTGTCCGAAAAAAAAAGATAAAAAAATGGAAAAAGGCTGCGTAGTCAGGGATGATCGTGGCTGGCTGCATAACGTCGAAGGAATAAAAGTTATTAAAACCGCCATGGTATTGTATGTACAAGCCAGTATGGCTACGCACTCGAGATGGCATCCGGCTCAGATAGACCCCGCAAATAGTCGTTGGTATCGTGATGGGCTGTGGTAGTAGGTCCGTGTGTTGTTTGTCAAGGCTGCACTTGGCTTAGAAGTTGGCCGCTGCGTTGGGCCGTCCTCCGGGGCTAGAGTACTGGTCCACGTTGGATCCGTAGGGAGCGGATCCTGGGCTGTTCTGCGGCTTGTCACCAAGGGCTGCGCCCGTACCGGCCATGAGGTCATCGTCATCTGCCTGGACACGTGCTTGGCGCTTCTTCATGCGCCAGAAGACGAGGGCAATGCCACCGAGGAGCAGAGCACCTCCGACACCGCCAACGACGCCACCAATGATCTTCTTGTCGGAATCGCTAATGCCTCCGTCATTGCCTTGGTTGTTGCCCTGCTGTTCTGTGGGTGCCTCGGTAAAGGTGACTTGTCCGGTTGTGGCGACGGAGGTGCTGGTACCAGTCGAGGTCTGCGTGATTTGCTGGTCGCCGCTCATTGTGACAATGGTGGTGGTGAACTCGCGCAGGGTGGTAGAAAGGAGATCCGAGGTCCTGGTGATGGGGGCAGTCCTGATGGTAGATGGCGGGGAGGTGACGGCAGGTCCGTTTCCAGTTGTGCGTGTTGTCGAGGTAGGGCCATTGTTATTGTTGTTGCCGCCATTGCCTCTGGTGGTGGTTGCTGTTGGTGTGTTTGCGGGGACGTTGTTTGAGGGCTGCTGGGATGAAGGCTGGTTGTTGTTGTTATTGTTGTCGTCGCTGGATGCCGGTGGCTGTGGCTGGGGCGATGAGGATGCGACTGGCGGCGGTGTTGAGACCGGAGGCTGCGAAGGCTGTGATGCTGGAGGTTGTGACGAAGCAGGAGGAGCTGACGACGAGGCAGCGCCGGTGCCCTCAGCTTCTTGTCGCTTGCCGTGGCGCAGATAGTGGTTGACGCCGTCAATGTGCAGGTCCTCGAGGGTAAAAGCCGAGGAAACAGTGGCGAGAGCGAGCACCGCGCCGGAAAACCACGTCTTTGGTAGCATGTTTGGCGGTTTCGCAGATCGGGGTAACGGGAGCGAGCGGATGGGGGTGTCGAGACGGCGTGCTTTAATGGGCGAGGGTGACGCGTCTAACAGAGGGTGTTTGAGATTTGTAAGTATTAAAAAAGGGAGCCCCGGACGGATCAAGGACGACTAAGTATACGCGAGTAGAGGGTGCTTGGAGGGCGGTGTAAGTGGATACAGGGCCAGGGCTGAACGAGGGAGGGCCGAGAAGGCAATAAGGAGATGAACGAGCGTGTGGAGGGGATGACGGGTAACGGGTAGGCGTCAGGGTGGTGATGGTGCAGCAGGTGAGTGGTGGGAGGGTGGGTGATTAAGCACTCTACTGGGTGCCGGGGTCGGGGGTCGGGACAAGGCAAGTGGGCAGGTGGGCAAGTGTGGGCAGCAAGTGGAGAGAGGGTGGGCAGCCAATTTTAGCTTCAGCCGCGCCAGACCCTGCCTTGGCCTGCCTGTGCCGCAACCACAGCGCCTCACTATGAAAATTTGCTGGGCCCCCAGCCAGCCTGCATCGCCGTACCTGTGAGACGCAGGAGATAAGCAAAAAAAAAATCAGGCCAAAAAGATGTGTAACATCGAGTAGTAGTATTGGGAGTCGTACTACTACTATAAAGACAAAAACACCGCCTGCTACTGGACCGCAAAACACTGCACCTCCCCCCCCAGCCTCTGTTGCTCACCCAGTCGCCGGTTCCGCATTTGTCCATTGGCCCGCCGGCGGAACCCGCCCTTGTTGCAACAGTGCAAGCCCAGTGTGTCCGTCTGGTCGTGCGTCATCCTGCCTGGCTAGCATTTTGCAGTCAAGCAAGCCCCCGGTCCGCCGTCGAAGATCCTTTACAGAGTGGTAGCAAAAAGTCGTGGCCGCCAATAACTCTCGCATCGTCCGTTGTTTCCGCTTTGTTCGTTGTCGCAGCCCGCCCCGTACAGACACTCCGCCGCCCAACCAACGACGATGCTCGCCGCCGCCCTGTCACACAGCCTGTCGCTGACACCTCACGAGGCCCTGTCGGGTGTCTTCGGCTCAATCTCGCTGGCCTCGTGGATCTTTCTCCTGGTACGTAACAACTTCTTCGCGGTCGAGACCTTGTCTTCCCTCCTTTCACCAATGGCGACTTGGACGCTGTGTGATTGTTGCACGTCGCGTGGCCATGTTGCAGCTTGCCATGTGACTGCCGCAACTACCTGCCTGCCTGCATATATCCACCGTGCTACTATGAATAGAAAGCCGCCCACGCAGCACGCGACCCAATCCATGCATCCATGTATGTATACTAACATGCTCGCCCATTAGGTCCCCCAGCTGCTCGAAAACTACAAGTCGGGTTCTGCAGATGGCATCTCGCTCGCCTTCCTCATCGTCTGGTTCATTGGCGATGTAACCAACCTCGCAGGTGCCCTCTGGGCCGGCCTCGTCCCTACCGTCATCGCACTTGCCGTATACTTTTGCTTCGCCGACCTAGTCCTCATTAGCCAATGCCTATACTACAACATGAAGAACTCGCGTCGCGAGCGCAAGTCGTCGACCCGCTCCACCGACAGCGTCCAGGCGCCTCTGCTCGGCCGCCGCGACAGCAGCAACATTGGCCTCCCAGGTAGCCACAGGCGCGACTCGGCCGCCAGTCGTAGACGCCGCGCCAGCTCCCTGCCCACCATCCCCGACGTCACGACCGCCTCGTCGAGCGAATGGCTCAAGAACGCCCTGAGCATCTTTGGAGTCTGTGCCGTTGGTGCTGCCGGCTGGGCAATTGCCTGGCAGATTGGCGTTTGGGTGCCCCAGCCCACACACGATGACGCAGGCAATGCCTCTGACAGTCCTCTCGGTGCCCAAATCCTTGGCTATGCCAGTGCAATCTGCTACCTTGGTGCTCGTATCCCCCAAATCATCAAGAACCAGCGTGAAAAGTCGTGTGAGGGTCTGTCGCTGCTCTTCTTCATGTTGAGCTTGCTAGGCAATGCTACCTATGGTGCAGGAGTACGTTTCCCCTTGACTTATTCTTTTGTATACTTGTGACTAACTGCTTGTCTCACAGATCATCTTCCACTCGCAGGAAAAACAATACATCCTCACCAACCTCCCCTGGCTCATCGGCTCCCTCGGCACAATGGTCGAAGACGTAACCATCTTCATTCAATTCCGCGTCTTTGGAACCGGCGAATCCACCTCTGCCCTCGATGCCTAGACTACTCTCCAAACTTACCACCAGCTATCTCACTCACTCACTCACTTTCTCTCTCTTTTCCATTTCCAGCATTTGCTCATTGCATAAAAGAAAAGTTCCTTGTATACTTCCTATGCTTTTAATAGCAACCATGGTCGTTTTGTGTCTGTTGCAAGATACCCGATTGAGATGAACGTAACAAAAGAAATGTTGAAAAAAAATTCTAGGGGCGCTTGGGTGTTTTTGTGAATCTAGAAGAGAAGGGAAACAAAAAGTTTTGTTGTTGTATAATAGTAGTAGAAGAGAAAAGGAGTTTGGATAGAGACTCTTTCTTTCTTTAAACAGATAAAAGAATTATTCAGAATCACTCTTTTCACAAGCATTATCATCATCATTAGATTCAAAAGAGAAAAGATGTGTACACTCAATCGTTGTATAGTGGTATATATTTGGCCCTCAGTCCAAACAGTCTATCAGCCCCTCCTAACCCAAGAAAGAAGAACAACAAGACCGAAAACCCACCCCGATACCAAAAATCTACCCTTCTACAACGTACACACCTTGTTGACTCTCTTTCTACTGCGCATTCTCATACTTTTGCTCATGCACACCAATGGCACTATACCACGTTAGCTCAAACTTTCCAAGCATACAAAAACGGGACCATCTTACCGTCCAGAGGGGTCCGTCTGGTTACTCCACGTAGGCGTCCAGCGCATCACCGTATCAGCACAGTAGCTGGGGAAGTGCTCGTCAAACATGCAGCGGTACCAGTACGCCTCCTTGCTATCCGGGACATCACTGCCCCATTCAGGCTTGGGGTTCTTCATCATTTCGTCGGTAACGTGCAGCTCGGCGTTATCCTTGAGCGCGTCGATCCACCCGTAGCCGACACCGTCGGAAAACTGCTCTTTTTGACGCCACAGAATCTTGTCGGGAAGGTATGGCGCCGTCTCCGGCTCGTCGGTTGTGTCGAAAGCTTTGCGCAGAATGTACTTTTCAATTCGGCCCGCTTTGCGGTCAATCATCTTGTCTGCGGGGTCGATGTTCATGGCGGTGTTGAGGAAGTCCTTGTCTAGGAAGGGCACGCGGGCTTCCACGCCCCAGGCAGACGTCGACTTGTTGGCGCGCAGGCAGTCGGCAAGATGGAGGTTCTTGACTCGGCGGACGCATTCCTGGTGGAAGGCCGCCTTGTTGGGTGCGTTGTGGAAGTATAGGTAGCCGCCAAAGATCTCGTCACTACCCTCTCCTGAAAGCACCATCTTGACACCCATGGCCTTGATCTTTCGGCTCAGCAGGAACATAGGGGTTGAGGCTCGGATCGTCGTCACGTCAAATGTCTCCAAGTGGTAAATGACATCGGTAAGCGCGTTGAGACCATCCTCAATGGTAAAGGTGAAAGTATGGTGTTTTGTTCCCAGGAAGTTTGCCACTTCTTGTGCTGCAATGGCATCGGGAGCGTTAGGCAGGCCAATCGAAAACGAGTTGAGTTGTCCCAGGAGGAGATCCGTCTGAAGCTCGTTGGAGTCATCGATTCCCACAAGCTGGCTCTGCTCATCGCTCGCCTTTGCACCAGACGTCGCAGCCTTCTGCCTTATCTGCTCGTTCAACCGCAGAGTCTCGCGCTGTGCTATCGATGCCACAAGACTTGAGTCAAGACCACCAGACAGGAGAACACCGAATGGCACTTCCGCCATCATGCGTTTCCGCACTGCCCGCTCAAACGATTGTCTCAGTTCCTTGTAGTCTACTGGTGTGGTGGGGATGTTCTCGGGCTCGACAAGCCACTTGGGATCGTGGTAGCGCGTAAGCGAGTCGGTCTTGGAATCGTAGACGTGGCCAGGAGGGAAGGAAATGATGTTGTCGCATACGGGGTGGAGGCACTTGAGCTCAGAAGCGAAGTATACCGCGCCCGGTGTTGTGCTCGACCTGCCCATATAAAAGGTAGTTACACCAATGGGGTCGCGCGCTGCGATTACACGGTCTTGAGTCTTGTCGTGAAGCACCCAGGAGAACATGCCGTCCAGCTTTCGAGGCGCATCGATGTCATGCTCGAGGTACTGGCATATGTCAGTTTTGCTGCCCTTATTCGTGGAGTCTCTAACCCTACCAGCGGAATGATGACCTCGCAATCTGAGTGTGTCTTGAAGTTGTACGGCTTCTTAAGGGACTTGCGGAGGATGCGGTGGTTGTAAATCTCGCCATTGACGGCTAGGGAGACGGTTTCATCGTCGTTGACGAGCGGTTGGGCTCCAGTGTCTACTCGTGTAAGCCTCGACTACAATTGATTTTTTTTAAACCGTGTGACTGCGTACCAACACCGACAATACTCAGACGCTCGTGAACCAAGACTGCTAGCTGTTAGAATTTCCCAATGACTAAACCATTCCGTAATTCTTACTAGTGTCGTTCGCTACCCAGTTGCCACCTACAAAATTTCAGTTATTGTGTTCTCTGGCGCATACTGAAGACGTGGTCACTGACTCCAATCGGGTCCCCGATGTCGGACACTGCGCGCAACCAGTCAATTCAACACTCTCAATTGAAATCAGATGCAAACTTACGCCTTGCCCATTTTCAGGGCCGTCGGCTTGAACTTTTGGACATCAGGGTGTCTTTGTAGAAAAAGTTAGTAACGTCTTCATAGCCCAAGTGAAGTAGAGGATGAGTGCAGAGCGAATCTGGCATACTTATAACAGGCGAAAATACCACACATGTTTGCAAATATGAGGAAGGAAAGAGAATGTGGGAGTCAGAAGGGAGAAAAGGACGGCTTTATCGCAGTCGAAAAGCTATTGTCAAACCACTGGAGTCATATTAGCCCTCCGGCGGACGGAGCCCCACCATGACCGCCAACCCGCGCTCACTACACGTCTGCTCGCAGCATGGCGGTGTCCACTATCTATCACAGGCATGCAAGGATACAGCCGTCTGGCGATACCGCGGCAAACCGGTGGAGTGTGATATTGCTCGGTCTAGGATGGGCCTTGCATGACGTTCCTACGCCACCCCACACTGGAGAATCATCCCTCGTCTATTGGCTCGTGCCCCCATGAGTCGAACAATTGTCTAGAAAAAGTACTACTGCTACGTATGAGATGACCACATGCATCTTCTTCATTCGCTTGTCTTTCCACCGCTTCAGATGAAATCACTCTTCACAATATGCAAGTGCAAAAGTGTATGGAAACATGAAGGTGTCAAACAATTTTGGCGCGCTACAACTCCAGATAGTCTACTTGTTGATACATGAATGCCTTCCACGCGGATATGCTCGTGCGTCCCTAGCAGATGCCACTCTGTATGCGTAACCAACAAGAAGCCCAGGTCCAAGCAAAAATAGTCCCCGAGAACACGAAGCAATGAACCGTCCTCTCGTCCAGCGCCATCCAATACCACCGCCCTACTTCTTCTTGCCTCCTTAGAAAGTTACTGCGCATTACCACGCCTTGCACGCTGAACAAAAAATCCCTTACTGACTGCTCTACCGCTACCAGAAAGGTGTTTAGAAAAGGAAATAAGCCAAGAGGAAGCTGATAAGACAAAGAAGCGCAGTGATCTGAACGGGGACGCCTCCAGCGGGGGCCTGTCGTACTTCGGTGGCAGTTGAGACTTGTGACTTCGAGTCTTGTGCGGAGCCCGTCTTGCGCTGGCGGAGACCGGTCGCTTCGCTAACCTGTTGTGTCAATCGTGCAATCTGCGCCTTGGCCTCGGCAAGTTGAGCCTCTAGGTCACCGGAAGAAGGGATAGCGTTCGAGACACTGGCAGCAGCCGAGCTGAGGGCACTCTGAGCACTACCACCCGTCGCAGGGTTATATGTCTCGTTCCTGATCTCTCCCAAGTTCTTGCTGCCGGCCGGGCGATCTTGTGGGACGGAAACCGGTCCAGATGCGTCAGATACACCACCACGCGAAGGGGTGAAGGCTTCCTGAGACGGTGATGGGGATGGAACCAAAGAGTCGCGGCTAGCAGAGTTGGTCTTTGCGGGTGTTACACTCAGGCCACCTTCGTCAGGGGCGAGGAACAGGACCCTGATCTTCTTCTCCTGGATGGAAGACTTGGATGTCTGTTCAATGTGCGACCACTATAGCAAGCGATTAGCCCTGTTCTGTCCTTTTACCCAAAAAATGATATGCGTACCAAAGATCCGACGTTGGCAAACTCTTTATCGGCAGTGATGAGGACCGACTGTACGAGGAACTTGTCGCGGCACTTTGCATCTGGCGGTGGGTCTTCCTTCATAGCCTGGAGGAGAACTAAGCGCATTTGTTAGCTGCTGCAAGGTGTCTAAAGGTGCGCACGCTTGGAATATGCATACTCTGAACTTCAACCTCCTTTCCAGGCTCAATACGTCCGCTGTTTGGCCTGACGCAATATCTATAGTTCCCTCGTCAGTTGTTGTGGGGCAAAGAAGGGGTCGCAGGCGCCGTACTGCTTGGGAGCCGTGGTTTTGACCTTGCATGTGTTAGCTACGCGTCCGATATGAAGCTACAAAATAGCAAGAGACAAGCAAAGCGACTCACCTTGAAGGCAACAGGGTCAGAATGCGGGTTCTTCAAGCGGAGCGTCTGCGACACTTCATGCTGGAAGGGTCCTGATGGGCTTAGTATTGCTGCATGCGTTCAATGCCACTGAAAGAGCTTACGCTTGAACCCAAGCTCTACGGGATCGAGCTCGACAGACATGGCGGTGCGTATGCGAGTGGTGAGAGTGCGGCAGGTGGCTGCGTGGTGTTGGTAATCAGGCACGGGTGCTCAGTTACAGCGTCCGTTCGCGGTCGACCTCGGGAATGATAGGCGGGTCGTGTGCTCGTGTAATTGTGGGTTTGATTAATCAACAGACAAACGCGCTGGCACTGAATGTCTGTATCGGGTGTCGTTGGTGGTTGCGGGTGGCAGAGTGAGGTCAGGAAGAAGGAGACGATGACGTTGCTTCAGGGCTGCCGTGGAGGCAGTCGCGCCAGTGACGCTTTTGGCTCAGGAAGCGCTTTAGTGGCCTCGACAGCTAACTGTCCGACTACCGGTATTCACGCAGTCTAGGCTGGGCGGGGAGTACGTATGCTTTTGAAGTGAAAGCGACGATAGCCGGTATTGCTTATTCAAGGCATTTGTCCAGCAGATCAACGGTCCGCCTTCTCCAAGGTTCCGTTCCATTCCCCGCTACCGCCTGCACCATGTACGTTATATAACACCGCCCCAGTGGAGCCCTCTATTATCAATACCACAACAAGTTCAACCCACCCTACTCATCAACTGACAAACCAAGCTTTCCGATAGACATACTTGTACCTTTCTGAACAGACAATTGTCCAGAGCGCTTCACTCACCCGGTTCGAACTACAACGTCACAACCACCATGGCATCATCCGATCTAGACACTCTCGTCGATATGGGCTTTGATCGCGAGCGTGCAGAGCTCGCCGTCAAAGTCTCCGGAGGCCTTCAGTCCGCCATCGATTGGCTCGAGACCAATCAGGACAAATCCATTGACGAGATCAAGCAAGCACAGGCCAGCTCTGCTGCCGGAGCTTCAGATGAACCCCCAGCCCTTCAGCCCGGAGAAGAAGCAAAATCGCTCGTGTGCGATGAGTGTGGCAAAAAGTTCCGATCAGTCAACCAAGCTCAATTCCACGGCGAAAAGACAGGCCACGAGCAGTTCAGCGAGTCGACCGAAGAAATCGCGCCGCTCACAGAAGAAGAAAAGAAGCAGCGGCTACAAGAGCTGCGGGAGAAGTTGGCGGCGAAGCGCGCAAAGATGTCGGAGCAGGACAAGGAGGACCAGAGGAGAAACGAGCAGATCCGCATGAAGGCTACAAAAGAGTCGCAGGACATCAGAGAGGAGTTACAAAAGAAGGAGCGTCTGAAGGAAGCCGCTGCTAAGCGTGCAGAGAAGAAGGCAGATGAGGAGGCAAGGAAGCGCGTGCTGGCGAAGCTCGAGGCAGATAAACAGGAACGCAAGCGCAAGGCTGAGGAGGAAAAGGCAAAGCGTGCCGGTCAGGCTCCCCCTGCTCCAGCCGCACAAGCTCCTCTTGCGACGTCTTCTGGCCCTTCGACAAGCAAGCCTGCGAGCGCATACACTGAGGTGAGGTTGGCGCTTCAGACACCCAGTGGAAGGGTTATGAAGACATTCCCGGTAGAGACGACGCTCTTCGAGGTAGCACATGCGCTCGAACAGGACGGCTTGAGTGTTAACACGTTTACCACCAACTTCCCCAAGAAGACGTATGACAAGACTGACTTTGGCATGACGCTCAAGGAGGCTGGCATGGTGCCCAGCGCGGCCCTGATCGTCGGATAAGTTTCGACGGTGGTCGAGAGGAATACCACGATTCTCTGAGACTGATGTAGTGATGATTCTGTACAAGAAGGCATGGGAAGATGGCGTTGGTAATGCGAGATTCACGGTAGATACCCTGTAGCGGGACGGCCACCAAAAACGCTGATGAGTTATGAATGACGAGAACGTGCTCAACATTTCCCAATTTCTGTTTAATTGCGTGAGAAACTGGCCATGTGTGCATACGACACCTATTCATATATCGGTATATTTGAGTTCTAAAAGCACACTACAGACCCATCACTCATACTCGTCGACGTCATATCTCCCCTCAGCCCTCTGCGTACTACACCACTCCTCACTCGCCAGTCCCCTCTCCTTCCTCCTAACCAGCGCCTCAGCATCCTTGCACCAATCACACGCAAAATCACACGGCGCAGGCACCTCGTCAGCAAAGTACTTCGCAATGATCTTATGCCGACATTTATCTGTAGCCTCGCAGTACCCCACAAGTGTCTGTAAGCTCCTTGCACGATTCATAAGTTGCTGTTGCTGGGCATCTGGTCCCCCGCTTTTTGAGGGTTGGCGTGCTGCATCTCGGGCCATCATGTTAGCAGCGCGATCGCGGTCTTCACGGCCGTAGTACAGAATACAGAGTGATGCTTTGCCGTCGCGACCTGCTCGACCGGCTTCCTGGTAGAAGCCTTCGAACGACTTTGGGATCTGCCAGTGGACTACGAAGCGGACATTTTCCTTGTCGATTCCCATTCCGAACGCGGTGGTGGCGACAATGATGTCGTAGCCGAGCTTGTTGGCAATCCAACCTGATAGAGCGTCTGCACGCTCAGAGACTGAGAGACCGGCGTGATAGGGTTTCGCACCGATGCCGTCAGAACGGAGGCGTTCGGCGAGGGACTCGCAATCTTTGCGGAATAGGGTGTAGATGATGCCTGGGACGTTATCTGTGCGTTGGTTTTGCGAGGCGAGTTGAGTGACGCGCTCTGGCCTCTCAGCACGCCGAGCGTATATCCCCTTGAGCATGGAAAGAAAGTCGTCGTAGTGGTCTTCTTCATCGGATTTGAAGCGTACTTCGTAGTGTAGATTTGGTCGGCTGCTACTCATGCGGAACATGGCCAGTTTCTTCGGGTCCAGTGCTAATGTGTTGATGATGTCGTCTCTTACACGCGCCGTGGCTGTGGCAGTCAAGCAAATAACTGGAACATCGGGAAATTCTGTCTTGAAAAAGGAGAGTTGCTGGAAAGATGGTCGGAAGTCATGGCCCCACTCGCTGACACAATGTGCTTCATCGACGGCGATACGGGCCAGTTCGCGCTGGGAATGGATTACTCGCAGAATTTTACGAAAGTGATCACCTTGACAGAATTCCGGAGTGACATAGAGTAGCCGAGTGAGTGGATGGCCGCATTGGAGATCCGCCAGGATTCTCTTCCTGTCCTCAGTGGGTGTCGTGCTGTTGATCGTTTCGACGCGGATATTAGCGTTGCGTAAAGAAGCGACTTGGTTATTCTATTTCCCAGTGAGATGGCTTCATGCAGATGAACATTAGGTAATGTACCATAAGTGCTAGAAGTGGAGAGATGACAATGGTAACTTGGTTCATCAGTACAGGTCCTCTTTCACATCAGGCTGCTCACATACTGCCAAAGTCTACAACTGCTGGAAGTTGGTAACACAGGCTCTTTCCGAATGAAGTCGCTGCCTGGACGAAGACATCTTGACCTTCTAGTGTGGCCAGAACGACTTCACGCTGTGGCGGTCTAAGCTAATGGTTAGTATGGTCATCTCAGAAACAGATCAAGACACTTACCTGAATGCAGCTTTCTTGAAGACTTTTCTCAACGTAAAGTCTATGTTTGAGTACGGTCGCTTCCTTGGGCCAGGCATGATCCTGGCACTAAACCCAGTATTATTTCAAGATTCCGGTGAGTAAACTCTGCACGATGAATATGCCGAGTCACCGCAGTATCGTGGGGTATAACGGCGGCTTCAGCAACAGGCAGGGTTGCATGTTGAGTTACGTGGATCAAGTTGGGGAAAGTGTTATGGAGTGTTAATCGATAGGACGCGTCCGCCTCAAAAGTGTGACGCGCTAGCACGTGCGTCCCACTTTGACTAGAACTCGAAGCATTTGTAGTCAGTCACCACCATACTTCACTCCCATAGATCAAGATACGGAGTTTAGCGGCGATTTATTTGATCAAAAATGGATATATGAAAGAATACGCGGAAAACTTGAAGGCTTGACTCACCGCACCCATATCCAAATTCCAAGCCTGCGAGATCAGCATTACTCGACCAGAACATTTACCGCACAAAATGGTCGCAGCAAACACAGGATCAGAAGTCCCACCAGGCTTCACAATAAAAGACTTTTCCTCCTTTCCACCAAAACTTCGCCCAGTAATCGCCGACAAGATAGCCAAACTCGAAAAGAAAATCTTCCCCGCAATAGAGCATTTCAACTATGATGTCGAGCTGAAGAAAAAGAACACGGGCTTGCTACTGGCGTTCAGGGAAGACGACGACGAAAGATTGGTCGCTTATCTCGTGTATCAGCGGATAAAGAGGCTGGCGTGGCTACACAAACTCTGTGTTGTTGAGCAAGAGAGGCAAAAGGGTGTGGGCAAGGCGCTGATTCAAAGGTTTCATCATCAGATGGGAAGAGGAGGGTGTCAGACGCTGTTTTTGTGGGTCGATGAGAGTAGACAGCCGGCGAGAGCATTGTATGCATCATGTGGCTTTCAGCAGTCTGAGCGCCGGCCAGATTATTATGGTCCCGGGCGTACGGCTTTGAAGTTGGAGTTGACGATTGGAGAATGAGGTTGTGCGCTGTCTAGGGCTTTGATACAGCCTCCCGATGACGGAAATCGTTCAATCTCACACTTATCAAGACCTTGTTGGAAGACAAGGAGACATGCCATGGAATTTATGAGTGGACTTCTACGGGATAGTCATGCTTCCTTGATCGTCTCGTCAATCTGGGTAAAGTTCAGACCTAGTACGCCATTACCAAGTGGCCCCATATCTATCTATGTCACCCTATTTGCAACCGATACGCCATACACAATACAATTCCACCCAAGCAGACCCCTACAACTGGATATCATTGTTCAACAACCGCACCTCCTCACCAGGCTTGAATGCCGGTAGTCCAATATATGGGCATCCATCACACCTAAAAGCGTCGCCCAGCGCACAGTTCCCGCAGCTGCCCACCTTGCCTTGTACTGTAAAGTCCACTTCGGCAAGATCATCGGCATCCAGTTTGAGTGCGTTCAAAGCTTTGTCGGCGGATGCGCGTCTGGCGGCATCTTCAGCTTCGAGTTTCTCCTTCATACCGCAAGTGCAATCTTTGCAAGCGCGTCGTCGCTTTCCTGGCTTGGGCTGACATTCAGGTGCTGGAGTCTGTTAGTCTGAAGAAATTGAATTGAGAGTATTGAAGACATACGTTGAATGACAGGTCGAGCCATGTCTGCCTCAGTGATGAATTCGTCTTCGTCAATCAAATCGTCATCTTCGCCGGTAATGATGGGATCGTCAAGATCGTCGCTGAAGTCCACGAAGCCTACGCCGTTTGGCTTGGCTGGTTCGGTTTGGTTGCGCTTGCCATTGAGGTTAAGCGGGACAGAACCGTCTGGATTGACCGTGCCATTTGTGCCATTTGTGCCATTTGTGCCATTTGTGCCATTTGTGCCATTTGTACCATTTGTTCCATTGACGGCGCCTGCCTTCTTCTTGCCAAACTTCAGCGGTATCGACACGGCCTCTTCTTGCTCTGGCTTTGTCATGCCATCTGCTGTTTCCGTGAGCCCAGCAAGGATAGCCTCTGTTTTCTCAGAGCCTTGAAGAGGACCAGCCTGGCTCTTGAGCACTCCTCCAACCTTCAATGCGCCCACTACTTTGTTCATAACATCGCGTGCTAGCAGTTTGTGGCTTTCGCGAGTTGTACCGTCGGCGTCGGCAAGGAGAAGGACAACATCGTATGTAGAGGCGGGCAGATTGACGAGACCGGCCGCGATGCGGTCCAGCATCTGCAGGTCTGTTGATTTGCGGTCATGGATTTCGTAGACCTTGTCAAGTTGCTCAGGATGCGCTGCGATCGACGGCGTACCGATAAGTAAGCATCGCGGGGCCATGGCGGGGTACAGTGGCGTCGTGTGTGTGCGGATGGAGGGGCAGATTTGTGCCGCAAAATCAAATGTGAAAAGAAGAAGTCTTGCGAAAAAGAAGCAGAAATTTGAGGGGAAACAGTGGTGGATGTACCAAGGCGTGGCCGGGAAACTTTTCTCAAGATAGTTTGCGGCCTCGGAAGCGTGCTGATGCAAGCAACAAATCCGCGGCGATTGGTCATACGACCCAGGGCCGATGGCGAGGGCGGAACGAACGAGCTGACCATCACGTGATTTCGGGGCCACTGAGGCACGGCGCATGACTTTGGCCGGCCTGTGTGGGGCTGGTGCATTAGCGCTCATGAGATACTTGTGGAATCCGGGGTAGCAACGCTGCCCGCTCGAGGTTGTGAGCCAAGTAACTTTGGATATTGCGCAATACGAGGGCTTTATGTGCACACTGGATATATAGAACTACACAAGTATGGCTGGATGAATGGATTGGACCAGTCTGCGCCGGTGTTGTTCAGCATTTCGCCTCGGGTCTCTTGCTCTAAGCACGCGACCAGCATGCACCAGGTACCAAGTGACGTACCCAGCTCCCCTCCCCAGCTCCTTTCCTCACAGAGTTCAGGGACCGAAGATCCGATTGATAAAACCACGCTGGCCTCAACTTTACCTTCTGTAAATTGCAATGGCCAGCATAGGGTCCTTGCAAGCGAATCTTCTAGATAACGGCACCAACAAGGCCCCGTGGTGGTGTAGGTGCTTTCCATATAAAGGGAGCACCGGGTGCTGGTGCCAGCTTCCCCGCTCTGAGAACTATACGCGTGAGGCACACTACGCCTGCTTTAACTTTTGATCGGATCAACGCTCTTCTCCCCCTCCCCAACTCGCGCCATTGCTCTTGTGCTCATCGCTGCTGTGACTCAAACCAACTCCAGTCAGATCTGCAAGGTACGCAAACCGGCTATGCTGTTTTACTACGCAAGAAGACGCCATCGGGCCAAAGCTCCTATCACGAGACCATGTACTGACCCGCTGCTCCAGAGTACCTTTAAGCACGCTTGGAGTAATCCCGAGCTCCGTTCTTGTCTACTTCAGCTCGACACCACCCTCATTCACATCAACCTTCTCACATCCACATCCACATCAACCTTCTTACATCGACCTTCACACATCATATACTTGCACTTGCTCTTCACTCCGTCAGCCACATACCAACAAGTAGGTGTCTCCTTTCGTCATCTCTCTTGCCTATCTTGCTCACTGGTATTCACTCCTTGTTGGTATTCACATCTCGCTGAGATTCGTTCCTCGCTGAGATTCGCTTCTTGCTGTATTCGCTTCTTGTTGATACCCATTCCTCGTTGGAATTTACTCCTCGCTGGTATTCACTCAAGCTTATAGCGTCATCTATGGCTGCTCAATTCCACACCAGAAGCTGACTATTAAACCTAGTGACTCGCTCCCACAAGTACACTGACCGTGATCACGCTGGCATTGCCGATGGCACTGCCGAGCGTGAAGCACGTCTTCCCAAGTACTTTGCCAAATCCGGCCATGCCGACACTGACCCAACCAAAACAAAGAAGGGTGGCAGCGGCAAGGGCAATTGGTAAGTCTTGCACCCTCCTACCCATCCTCAACGCGTGTTCCGAAAGACCCGACAAATATGTTGCAGCTCTACCTACCGTTCATCACATACCTCCTTTCACCCTTAAGATATACTAGGCTGACAGTACATGCAGGGGTGCCATGGGCGACGAAGTCGAAGACATCAGGCCCAATATGGCCAATGCTCGCCGTCGAAGTAACTCATCAACCCATAACTTGAAGGACTTCAAGACCAAGTTCGAGACGATCGAGACTGAGCCCGTCTTCGAAGAATCAATCCACGGCCCAATGGGCGAGGAGCTCGAGAAGCAGAGCACCACCTCTACCGAGAACAGTATTGCTGAGGAGGACCACGGCAAGAAGTTCTAGTTGCAGCAAGCACAAACGACGCAAGCGGTATCGGTATGGCTGCGAGTTGACTGGCTAGTTGATTCGTGGGAAGCCATTGCCTAGTGACTGCCGTCGGGTCTTTAAGACCATCTGTACAGTGTGGAGCATGTCGTTTTATTTATTACGTCGACAGCTGCGATGCAAAGCCTTCACTTCATGTACCTGACATAAATTGTAATAAGTAACTTTATGAGGAATGAGAAACATATCTTCAAAATAGCTTTCCGTTGCCCTGTACGATGAAACAACAGCCGATCTAAAGGCTTGTACTTGTGCTTGGTTTTTTTTCTTTGGTCAAGAACCACGTTTGAGTCGGCGGGACACACAAGAAGCGCCAGCTGCGTTTAGAGTTTGGCGGTACCTGGGTATCCTTTTGGGCTTGTACTCGCAGTGCAACGAGAGCATACCATGCATCTATGGGGTCATGAAAGTGCACTGAGTCGAGAGTGCAGCAGCATACACGCGCAAGGGATTACTAGATAGTTGATTCTAATGCGCCACGACTGTGTAAGGTTGACCTCAGGGCACGAGATCCGTTTGCAGAGCACGTTGTTTAACTCCGTGTCCTAGCGTTGATCGGATCCCTGTCACCAAAGCTTCCAAAACAGACGCTTTCTTAGTTGTCAATCACCAACAACCCAAGCGAAGAGCCAACACCATCACCGGCGCGCTCTTTCGCGTTCTAAACCACCTCAAAACACACCTTCCATCATGTTTTCGCCAGAGGCTTCGATCCAGAGCGCGCGCAGCTCCCTGCGCAATCCCCGACGCCGCCAGCGCAAGGACTCGGACGGCCCCCAGCAGCAACGGAGCCGGAAGCGCAGTAAGCTCAACGATGAGGCCTTCAAGGACCCAGCCGGCGCGCACATGAACGGAAATGGGAGCGTTCAGATTAATGGTCATGCAGTTCAGAGCGTCGAGAATTCCGTCGTTCTGGTTGACATGCCCGTTCGCGAGAAGAAGACAGCACCGAAGCAGCGCGCGCCCAAAGAAGAGACTGGCTCATATCTTGTGAGTATACAGAGTGGCCCAGACATTGGCCATCACTGACAAAATGCATTATAGACAAAAAACGCAAACTACAGCGTAAAGAAACTCCCCGGCTTTCCGTCAGCGCTTCTCCGCCCTTCGAGTATGCCACAGCTTCACCCCGTCCGACGCGCGCTTGCTAACTGACATCACCAGCCCCCATATACGCAACCGCCCTCCCCTCGGCTGGTCTCGCGCTCGCCCTGACTTCGGATCGAGCCCTCGTCTGGGACTATAGCGTCCCGAACGGCCCTACAAAGGTCGTCTCCTTAAATCTGGGCTTTGGTCTAAGACCATCCGAGCCTCTGCCACTAGGTGCCATCGTACGCAACGGCCCCACAAACGACTTCGGCGTCGTCGCACTCGCGCCTTCGACAGGCAAAATCAGTTTCTGGGAGAGCATCGACAGCGCCGATACCCGAAGCCTCTATCCCCAGCGCCAACAAGGAGTGGAGGGCTTCGTCAAGCTATACTCCGGAGAAACCATAACTGATTTGGTAGACGTCGAGCATGCGGGCTATGTCCTGGTCTTCAGCAGCGGCAGGTTGGCTCAACTTACCCTGCGCGACTCGCAAGGCAGACCCAATGTTGTAACCACCGTTTTAAGCGCACCGAACAGTTCGGGTGGTAGCTTCTTCAGTCTCAAGGGCCTGTTGGGAGGATCGATTCGCAAAACCATTGCCTCAGTCAAGGCCCGCACTTCGCAGTCAAAGGGCCATATGGATGTCATATCCGCAACAAAGAATGGTCTCTTTCAGCTTTGGGATTTGAGCTGGTCAGGACAACATAGCCATCATCGGGATGTGGATGTACACGATGCAATTCTTTCGGCGCTCCAGGTTGACACTGTGCCGGAGATACGCAGTCAGCAGGATGTGCATGTGTTGGACTTTGCGATTGTCGAACAACAGCAGAGACATGACGTTGTTGAGCTTCTCGTGTTGGTGGCCTTGTCTGGTCGAGATTCCATGGATTATTCTCTCCTTGAATTGGTCTTATCAGGAGCCGGAGGCACAGTCAACAGGGTGATTCCGCTTCGCAATTTTCACCAACCCCAGCTACCAAAGGAGCCTACCGGAGCCCTGTTGGTCCCGCAACCCGGACATACCGCATATGTGCAGTTCCCAGGCGCCGTGTGTGTGACTGCCCTCACCCGACCCGAAGAAAGCCCCGAAGCACAACTACTTGCAGATGCCGGGCGACCCAGCTTGCCTTTCCAGGACACAATATACTTCCGTCCAGATGTAACGATATCTGGAAATGCCCTGGAGATAGCGCTACGAAAGGACAGGCGAGCGACCGCACTTATCTTTGTCCAACAATTCGGACTTTTGCAGATTAGTGCGCTATCGCCAACTACGGACGAACAGGACAATGAGCGAGCCAAGGTCACAGCACTCAGCAAGCTTGAGCAAGCGACATTTTTCAGCACCATCCCTGGCAACATTATTGATTTCTCAGTCAAGTCACGGTTTTCATTTCCAGAGGAAGAGACTGCAGAGGCGGCGCGTGCCATTAGCGCTGGTATTTTGAGCTCATCCTACGACTACCTGGAGAAGACCACCTCAAATATGGACGAACAATTCCAGCAACGTACTAGCGCCCTGCAAACTTTGATCTCGCAACTGCAAAGCAATTACCCACCACTATCTTTTGATACAAAGTGGCGGCTGCTTTGGCATGCGGAAAAGCTAACGGCTGCACATAAGCTGTGGAACTGGTACCAGGACAAACTGCAGGATCAGCAAGCTCATCCAGACGCGTATCCGGAAAAGATTCTAATGAGCGATATCATCAGAGCCCTGAATGAGCGCTACAAGACACCCATCGACCCTGAACTTGGCGAGACCGATACTATCCGACAATTCTTCCTCAAGGATGTCGACTCCCTAGGTGTGTTGATTCCTTGGGGCTGGTTCTACCTGCGAACCTTTTATATGAAAGAGGGCGCAAAGGAACAGGGGTCAATTATGCAGAGGCTCAGTGAAGGCACTGATGTCATGCTTGTGGCTTTGGAGGCTGCCTTTGAATTTCGGCAAGCCAATGTGGAATTGTATGGGCTCGATGGCGATTGTCTCGACGACGGGATTCTCAGACCAGAAGAAGGCTACGACCTGCTTCCCCAGTTCTGGACATCGTCTCACAACATTGTCAGCTCAATTCGCAGCCTCATTGATGTTGGCCGGAATCTCGCAGTGGAAAACTATGAAGAAGGCTACCAGGAGATTCTTGCGCAAAAGATTGGCAAAGACAATCCTCGTCTGGTGAAGCTGGGTTGCCAAACGCATATCGAGCGCTTCCAATGGGCTCTTGCGCAGAGTGATGAGAAGACGCGAGCAATGGGCCGCAGTCTCAAGGATGAATGGAACAACAATGTCCGACCATCGCACATTATGGGCCTGATGGAGATTGGGCTCGCAACCGAAGGAATGAAGCTGGCTGAACAGTACCGGGACATGCCTACGCTAGTGAGCCTCATCTGGGAAGAGACGAACTGGCTCGAATCAGAAAAGGCGAGCACACGCAGCAAGATGGAGCAGGCGGAAAGCACCGTCAAGCTCAACCGGATCAAGGAGCGTATCGCACGCTACTTTGCCATCTACGGCGACGAGTGGGCTGGAGCCTTCTACAACAAGTACATTACCGAGAACCAAGCGGGCCAGCTGTTCATGAAGGACTACCTCAACCAACCAGCGCTTACCAAATTTCTGCGCTCTGAACCTTCACGTGTGCGGCTCGCGTGGATCAATGATGTGTGCGGCGAGAAGGATTACGAGGCAGCCGCCGAGGCACTGTACGAGGCTGGATCGAAGCAGGAGACCAACTCGTGGTGTCAGCGTGTGGAGCTCTCCATGGCCAAGCTCGCTCTGTTGTGCAAGAAAGAAGTGAAAGAGGGCGACGAACAGCAACCACTGTTTGATGGGCGCAGGGAGAAGCCAAAGGCTCTGAAGATGCGCGAAGCCATGTTTCAGAGCATCGAACAGCAGTTGGAGTACACCAAGATCCAAGAGGAGGTCTACGAGCGACTGCTCCCCGTTATCACGGGTGCTCTGGACGAGGACTCTGCCGTCGAACTGTTGATGAATGAGTTTGGTCAAGGCCGTCTCAAGGACCGACCAGCGCATCAGGCGATTCTCAAGGAAGGCTTTGAGAATCTTGTGCAGCACAAGGTGATTGATGCGGCTCTCATGATTGACATTCTTACGTTGATGAATGCGGATGACAGCGAGGATGCCACAACTCTGCTGGGAGGAGACGAGTTTGTCTACGCCTTTAGGGTTCTGGTTGTGAGCTGGCAAAACATTCACCGAACGACACGCGAAGGCCTATTGAAGCTGGTGTGGAAGCGACTGGCTATCAAAGATGATTGGGCTACGATTAACAACACGAGGGACATTACGGACGCTAGGATCACCGATGTGCTCCGGGATACTGCAGTATCATGGACATTCCGGGCCTTGTTCAGGATGTGTGGTAAGCTGCCAAGTCTTAGCAAAGGATACTCACCCGCTAACGTTTCTGCAGCCGAGAACCCGTTTGCTCGGATTGTATGGCCTAAGAGCCTGCGGGATCTTCTTGGAGCCGGGGGTACGCATGGCGAGCTTTGTGTGCGCTTTGCAGCTGAGGATCTCCGCGAGCCCATTATCAGGGACAACCTGCTTGACGACGATATTCTACAAGAGCACTTGGAAAAGAACAGGCTTAGTGACTGGTTCAAGGAAGCATGGAAGGCAGGCAGGGCAATGTATGACGAGGAGCTAGTGCTCGAGGGCAAAGCGCAAGCGGCACCTGCCGAGCCCGAGACGACAGTCAATGGAGCAGGAGCAGAGGCAGAGATTGAAGCAGAAGCAGAGGCAGCGGGGTCGGACACATTTGATGGAGACGATGAGAGCGCGTTGGAGCAGGAACGCGATGTTGAGATGTTGGAGTCGTGAGAGGGATTGGGATGTGGCTGGGAGTCGGCTTCGTATTCGGGAGTTTATCGGGCGCGGAGAAGGCTGGGTAAGCGAGCAAGCATGAAGCATCTAAGGACGGCGTTGGGCAATCTGTGGCAGCCAAACGCGCAGACGGGCTGTTTTTGTTTTCTTTTTCTGTGTATTCTCTTCTTCTCCATGTCCTTTTTTCTTCTTTTTTTTATTGTTGCTTTCTTCTACATGGCTGTATTTGTAGCACCGAGCCGTGGTGCAGGCGTTGTGTGGCGGTCATGACTAGGAGGCGGAAGGGGGGATGGATGGATGGACTGTTGTGGACGGCAGTGTATAAGATTTGACGATTCGGGTAATGCATGAACATTGGCGAGCACCCATGAATAGTGACATGCACAACGGCGTATTGGCCAGGGTCTCGACTGTGTTCTGTGGGCCTGAGCGTTCATTTGACGGTGGGGACCAGCCTTGGCGAGGGCGGAATGTGGCGCCAGCGAGCGAGGGCGGAAGGCGACGGGCAGCCAATAATGAACAGGTACCGTGACCGTTGGATGCACGCCGTCGCCCAGAGACAGCGAGAGAGCCAGCGCGACGGTGAGGCGGACCAGGTCGCGTATGCGTACTTAGTCGGCGTGGCGCTCAGCTGGACGGTTGGCTACTGTCTCGGGGTGAAGCAGCTTCGACAGGCATGACCAGCCGCGGCTTGGTTGCTTGGGAACGACGCTGCAGCGGTGTGCGGCGCGCGCAGATTGGGGCAACTTGCCGCAAAAGATCATCGCTCGCCAGTGGATAGCCGGCTCCTGTGGCCGTCGCCGCTGGCCGTGGTTACCATGGGCTCTGTGTCGCGCGCCTTTCCCCTTGGGCGCACGCGCGCCAGTGTCGTGTGTGGTTGCGGGACCGCCTGTCGAATCTCCGCGACCAGGCATGGGAGCGCTGCTTTTTCCTCGGAGGCATGCTGGTTTGGGCGTGGCCAGTTCTGCAGGTACACACTTGCATGGCACACACGTATTTACCTATCACTAGCACAACGTAGCACCCAGCCAGCAAAACACATGACAGCAGTCCGTCTGCTTGCTGTCGGCCGCAACACTCACACACGCACCCGCTGTCCGGCCTGGCAGTCCATGTACCGCGGGACGAGGGCGAGGACAGCCTTGGGACATGGCGCCATTGGTACATGTTTGCTACTCTACTTTGTGCACACACACATATATATATAAACATACATACATACATATATACATACATACAATATACACGTACATATACAAACACATACATATACTTACATACACACACGTACATGTACACACATGTACACGCCCTCCATGTCAATCGCCCGGCAAATGCGTCGGGACAGGTCGTCGCCCTCAGGTGGTCACAGTCCCGTGCTCGCGCTCGCTGTGATGAATTGGCCTAGTGAGCCGGATGCAGGCTAAGGTGCGCCGCGCACGGGCCACAAGTGTCGCTCCCAGCAGCCCCTTCTCCACGCCTTTTCCACCCTTCGAGTCGGCTGCTCTTCTTCACTACCCACCCCGTCGTCTCACGTCCATTCTTCTGACCTCCCCGTCAACTCGCACGCTGCCGTCAGCAGCCTCGTCGCTCTCGACTCGCCCTCGATTCGACCGACCCTCCCTCCTACCCGACACCTCTCCCCTTGGTAAAGGACGCCCAGTCGCGTCCCCCGGCTGCATAGCCCCAAGCCTCATCACCGGAGAACGGCTGCGGCCCTGCCTCGCTGTCGCCACAACCACCACGACGACTTCCGCTACAGCGATTCCTTCCTCCTTCCATCTCCTCCTCGTCACCACCACACCAATACACCTCCGTCACCATGGCTAGCGGCAGCACGAGTTCCAACGTTGTCGGCGTGCACTATCGCGTCGGCAAGAAGATCGGCGAAGGCAGCTTCGGCGTCATCTTCGAGGGCACCAACCTGCTCAACCAGCAGCAGGTTGCCATCAAGTTCGAGCCGAGGAAGAGCGATGCTCCTCAGCTGCGTGATGAATATCGCACTTACAAGATCCTTGTGGGCTGCCGTGAGTCTCTACTTTCCTTCCCCCTTTACCGCCTGTTGTGTCCAACCAGCCCTGCCCCGGTACGTGTTTCTGCAGGGACACCAAACACACCCATACCTGACCGGGCCTATCAATGCTTGGTCGCGCAGTGTATGGGCAATGCTCTGGTCGATGCCTGCCAACTCCCATCATTCATGTTGCTGCATTCATCTCATCAACTACAATGTTTGTTGTCTACGCCCGCTGCTAGCCTCGGTATCAGCATTGCGCACATCACGGACCATACACACACACACACACTTGTATCTCATGAACAAGACTGACGTCAAACAGCCGGGATCCCTAATGTTTATTACTTTGGCCAGGAAGGCCTCCACAACATTCTGGTCATTGACCTCCTTGGCCCCAGCTTGGAGGATCTATTCGACCACTGCAACAGAAAGTTCTCCATCAAGACGGTTGTCATGGTCGCCAAGCAGATGGTATGCATGACAACGAATTGATCGCCCTGCTCACGTGCTTACCTTTTGCAGCTTTCGCGCGTCCAGACCATCCATGAGAAGAATCTCATCTACCGCGACATCAAGCCCGACAACTTCCTTATCGGTCGCCCCGGCTCCAAGAGCGCCAATGTCATCCATGTAGTTGACTTTGGTATGGCCAAGCAGTACCGTGACCCCAAGACCAAACAGCATATCCCTTACCGGGAACGCAAGTCCCTGTCCGGTACCGCTCGATACATGAGTATCAACACCCATTTGGGACGCGAACAGTCGCGTCGTGATGATCTCGAGGCCCTCGGCCACGTTTTCATGTACTTCTTGCGCGGTGGACTGCCATGGCAAGGCCTCAAGGCTGCCACCAACAAGCAGAAGTACGAGAAGATTGGAGAGAAGAAACAGACCACTCCAATCAAGGATCTCTGTGATGGATTCCCTGGTACGTCGAATATAGTCACGACAAGCTTGTTTCATACTAATGATATGCAGAGGAGTTCAACAAGTACCTCAGCTACGTCCGTAACTTGGGCTTCGAGGATACCCCCGACTACGACTACCTCCGGGAGCTCTTTACCCAGGCCCTCAAGAGCACTGGAGAGATTGAGGATGGCGAGTATGATTGGATGAAGCTGAACAATGGCAAGGGCTGGGAGGCGATGAAGTCGCACCCGTCCGCTGTCCAGGCCATGCACCACTCCAACGTCAACCCAAACTCGTCCATGGCCGTCAATCTCCAGGGCCAGCAGCACAGGCAGCAGAAGACGCATCTCCCCATCGACCACCACCGCCTAAACGAGCCCCTGCCCAAGCCTGGAGCGACACGCGCTCAGCAAGGAAGAAGCCCAAGAGAGAACATGAACCGCGATTCTCAGATCAAGAGGAAGAGCATGGGTGAGCTCGCACCTCCTGAAGGCGCATCGACACAGGCCCAGTTTCAGCACAGCCAGCAAAACCTGTCACAGAACCGCGCTGCTCCCGCCAGCAGCCCAACTCCTCAACAACCGAGACAGCAGTCTCCCGAGAAGCCGAGCTTCATGCAAAAACTGGCAAACGCGCTATGCTGCGGCGCCAGCAAGTAGTAGTCGCGGCCCTCAAGCTTGGTTTCCTTCCCTTTGCGTTGCATCCTGGAGTCCGTTCTTTGAGCGATAGTATTCCTTCGGTCACGTTTTCTTCCTGTATAGGTATCTTGTAATGATTGATAGACGGGATCGAAAATCTCCTTCCACGGTAATAGTTACGACGACCGATCGACCGAACTGCCTCCCACACGAGCCCGGATCTCTCATCAGCGCCGAAAAAAAAACATCACTACCATCTTTTTGTCTTCATGTTCGCGCTCCCGTGTTGCAAGACCACATGACCTGGCGGTCATGCGTTGTGGGAGTGCGAGTGCTTTCGATTGGGCGCTTGCGGCGTTGAGGTGTGCTTGGCGAGGGCTTGCACTCGTCGCATGTCAATTTCTTTATCCAATTTTTTGTTCTGTTTTTGGTACGAGGAAAATATAGCATGTAAAGGAGTCTCTTTTCAAGTCCCACGGCAGTACTGTATTCTTTGTACAGAGCGCGAGCGAAGGTCCGAGACGAAAAGAAACAAACGGAGCGCGCTTTAGTTCAGGTAGAGTAGTTGAGAAGAACGCAAATAGATCAACTCACCACACCACATGGGTGCATTGCCATGGTGCCTTATTTTTTTTCGGCGGCGCTGCTGCACTTGTGCTTGAGCGGCAGCAGCTGGTAGACAGGTAGATGGTGGCAGCCATCAGAGAGACTTGACACGGTTCTGAAGGGAGCTAAGAGGGGTCGTGATCAGATGGCCTGGAGCTATGGCCTTTTTGCGTATTTGATTGGAAGGTGCCTTAACAGCGGCAATCCATGACTCCATAGCTGTACCAACCTGTAGCGGCAGCAGAGAACCTGGACTGCGGCTTGTTCGGCCTTTTTGCCTTGATTTTGGTCGCATTCCCATTTGAATACTTTTGCGCGCACCTTTTTGGGTTTTTTATGCCCACCCAACCCGATTTTCTGCCAAATATTGATTTCTCTCACACGTGAGGTACCCGCCGCCGCAGGGTCCAACGCGACTTCCCAACATCGAAATTAAGCTCGTCCACTCAGCCTGGGGCCTGCGATTCATCAACCGCACCCTCTCCTTTCACCCGCTCATCGACGGACGGCGCCTTGCGATAGTTGCGATGGCGTCGGGACGCGATGTGCGCGATATGCTCGGCCTGCCTGCTGCCGGCGGTGATGCGCCAAAGACAGTAGGTTCAGCAGCACTGGCGGCGCAGACACAGAAGCGGTCAAAGCCTGCGGGAGGGAGCAGGAAGATACGTACGTTTGGCAACTCTTACGTCTTTCCTTGGGAAATCGTCAAAAGGTCGAGACTGACTCTCATTCGACCAGAGGGCGTTGCGCGCGAGGTTGCTGCGCTGTATGGTGAACGGCCGCCGCCCGTCGCCGTCTACGAGGAGAAGAAGGCGTACAGGGCGAAGAGGCAGAGCACAGGGCCGGCAAAAAAATGGTATGTCTGACAAAAGAGAGATGCAAGAGGATGGACTAATCGCGTTGCGCAGGATACAACAGCCCTTTACCAATCCCGCGCGTGCCGATGGCCTTGTGCTGAGGCACTGGCGGCGCAAGCCCACAGCTGCACCGCCTGTACAGGAGGCCGATGACGCGACGATGCACGAAGGCGACGCGGCAGACACCTCAGACACCTATATCGAAACATGCTCAGACTACGCAAAGTACGACATCAAGGTCGACATGCCCAGCTTCACCGACGAGGAGTACGACCAGTTCCTGCGCAGCGATGACTGGAGTCGCGAAGAGACGGACTACTTGTTTGAGGTCGTCCGAGACTATTCGTATCGATGGCCTGTGATATGGGATCGCTACGACTATCAGCCGTCGCGACAATACGCGCCAGACTTGACAGACGGTGGCGACCAAGCGCTCGCAACGATGCCGTTTGCACCATCAAAAAAGCGATCACTGGAAGACCTCAAGGCACGCTTTTACGACATTTCTGCGAAACTCATGAAACAGCGCATACCGGAAGTCTCCATGGATGCCGACCAATACAGCCTCTACGAGATGCTCACCAAGTTCGATCCCGTCATGGAAAGGAACCGCAAGATGCTAGCTACAGCGCTCATCAACCGCACAATGGACGAGGTCAAGGAGGAGGAATTCTTGCTCACCGAGCTCCAGCGCATCAACATGGCTGCCAACCGTCTCGATGCCGAACGCGAAGAACTCAGGGCGCGGCTCGACGCACCACCACAGAACCCACAAGCATCGGCCGGGCTACAAGCCTTTACATCGTCGCAAGCACTGCAAGCTCTCTTCCAACAACTATTCCAACAAGACCGCAGCAAGAAGCGTGCCGCCGGTGGTGGTTCAGGACCTGGTCGGCTCAGTCTCTCCGCCAACGACATGGTACACACTCCCGGCTCAGCACAACAACAGCTATCCGCCGCCAATCGCCGGCAAAGCATGGCACAGAACCAACAAACACCTGCACAAACACCTGTCAAGCATCTCTCGCCGCACCAAGAACATCGCTTCAACGTATCAACACACGACCGGCTTACATCAGGTGTTACATTCGGCTCTGACAAGTTGCTTAAGATGCGACAGGCCAAGAGCAATGTTCAGACACAAAAGATTGGTCAAATGCTTGCAGCGCTAGGCGTGAGTGACATTGTTCCGATACCCACTAGCAAGGTGGGTGAAGTCTTTGAAGTTTTGGTTACCAAGGTCAGCAAATTGCTCGATGTGCGAAAAGTACGCGAGAAGGAAGAGGGAGAATGTAAAGTTTTGCTTGCTATGAAAGAACGACGCATGGGCAGTGGAAATGGAAACAACGGCGGCGCCGACGAGGAAGGCGAGAGCAGACCGAAACAAGAAGTACGCGATTCGCAAGAAACGCCCGGCGCGGATGCTGATGCCGACGGGGATAACGACGATGAAGACGATGTCAACAAGAACTATGGCGACGATGCCGAAGGAGACAACGACGACAACGAAGAAGGCAACGATGCAGACAATGCCGAAGACGACGCCGAGGGCGAGGAAGATGAAGGCGGTTTCAATGGCGAAGATGCCGACGATGGCGATGTGGATGCCGAAGGCGAGGACGACAGCAAACAACAGTCTCGTGCAACGAGTCACAGCGCGTCTGGCCAAGGGCACAAGAGAAGTGCAAGTGTCTTTTCACAAGGGAGCGAGATGAGCAGCAAACGAGCGAGAAAGTAGAAAGCTTGGTGTTTTCTTTGCGTTGTTGTCGTCTTCATGGATTGTTGAAATTATCCCCTTTTGTGCCTGGAACATTTGCATAGCGTTGGCGTTTATGGTAGGGAATAAAGCTATAGGGCTAAGGGAAAGAATTGGGGGGGGTTCATGATCCCATCCATCCATCAGTAACGGATACATGGATTAGGCTATGTTTCTAACAAATGTACAAATATCTCTTCTGCTTATATTTACAAATCCCACGCTTCCTGTGAGATGCCCTATGCGCACAACTTCGTGTCAGAGCAATCATATCTTCGCCTTGACCTTATCATCCTTCTTCTCCTCCTCCAACCTCGCAAACACCGCCGTCCCCCGTCCCCCCTTGAACAACCCCAACATTTCCTTCCCCATCCACGCCTCCCTACTCTTAATCAGTCCCCTTTCCACATCCGCAAACCGATCCGCCTGCACCCAAACCCCCTTCCCATTCGCCGCCATCCCCTCCCCTATCAGCCCACACACGGCCCTTGCAACCGCGTCTGGCGAATTAATCGGTACCCCGGCCTTTGCCATTTCCCTGGCATGTTCCTCGTACGGTAAATCGCGCAATTCCGGCCTGCCCTGCGCAAGAATCGGGGTGACGGTTATGCCCGGGGCAACGAGCGAAATGGCAATGCGTAACTTTGCGCATTCTTGCTTGAGCGCGCGCACAAGGCCGACAAGACCGTGTTTGGCAGCCGAGTAAAGTGGTGCGCCCGCGGAACCGAGGTAGCCTGCTAGACTCGCCGTTAGGACTATTGAGCCTGCAAACTCGCCGCCGCCGCCGCCGCCGCTGCTGCCGCCACCATTCTTGCGCAAGTAGTGGATTGCGAGTTTGGTAGTGGATGCGGCGGCGTTCAGGTCCAGAGTGAGGACTCTGTGGTCGGGCTCGCACAGGTTGCCATCTGCATCGAGGGCGGAGGTGAAGAATTGGTCGGCGTGTTCGGCTATGCCGGCGTTGACGAAGACGGCGTCTATGCGGGAGAACTTTGCGTGGGCGGCAGCGAAGGCGGCGCGTTGGGCAGGCCAGGAGGTGATGTCGCAGGTGTGGACGAGGAGGTGGGAGGGGGAGTGGGTGAAGGTTGGGGGTGGGGGGCGGAGGTCTACGAGGACGAGGTTGTGGGAAGGGTTGAGGGTGGAGAGGAGGGTGGCGGTTGCGAGACCGATTCCGGAAGAGCCGCCTGTTATGAGAATTGTTTTTGGGGTGGAGTTTGGGGATGTGAGGGTGGAGAGGGAGGGATCGAAGAGGGCCATTGTTGGTTGTTGGTAGTGCAGTATGGTATGGGATGAGGAGGGGTGTTTTACATTGCAGTTCTGTTTAAGAAAATCAAGCTAGGAATAAACGTGAACATGATTGGCAGTGAATAAATGATTTTATACTGGTAAGTGGATTCGGATTTCGAGGTCCCGACCTGCATCTCGTGCATATATACATGCCGTGATTGGGATCCTTTGGCTAGGTTAAAGGTCGTATTTGCGGGGCTCTCTTACGATATGCCCTTTTGAGCACGTATCCTGAATCATAGAAGTCGCCGCTGATTTGATTGGGGATATACATAGGGGATATGAAGCTTTTAGTCAGTATCTGGTATACTAAAGATTAGTCGGACGTAGAAACAATGCCTTCTTCATAGAGGTTGGATAATGTTGAGTATGGCCTTGGTTACAAAAGTCCCGGAGCACCACATGAATATGTTTTCGAGATACTATTACCTTCCTTGATGTTTGCAGATAAACGAAGAAGAAGATGCATATATTTCCAGAGTGAGAAGTATGTATGTAGCCAACTCCAGGTGGTGGGGGTTCAGCGCGCCAAACAAAGGAGCGGCGCACGTGTCGAGAGTCTAACCGCTTTCGGAACGTACACCTGGAGTTTCTGGAACTCGACACATGCACTTTGAGCTCCGGGATTCCCAAGTGCACAAGTTCACCAACACTCAAACTCCGCGCTACGACCAATCCTTTTTCGCGGGGTGACTCTCGACCTCTCAGAATGTGGAAACCAACAGTCCTGCTCGCTGCTGCCCTGGCGGTTCCGGCACAAGCACTTCACTTCTTCCTGGACGGCGCAGTCCAAAAGTGCTTCTACGAGGAATTGCCCAAGGATACACTAGTTGTTGGTACGGGTTACCCTTTCACTTTGGCTTTCCGAGACTGTTGGATTTTGGAGCATAGCAAAAGAACCGTAACTAACAATATCAGGCCACTACCACGCCGAGCCCTGGGACGACGCGACCAAGTCCTACCTGCCCAAATCCGAGATCGGTGTCTTCGTAACCGTTGAAGAAACATTTGACGATAACCACCGCATCGTGGCCCAAAGAGGCTCTGCCGAAGGCCGCTTCACTTTCAGCGCCGCCGACAGCGGACAGCACAGGATCTGCGTCATTCCTCAGAATGTCCAGGGCAACAGCGGCTGGTTGAACCAAGGCATCCACGGCACCGTCAGGTTTACCCTCGACATGGCGATTGGAGAGACGAGCAGGATCGAAAGCACGGACAAGGACAAGGTCGAGACGCTGGTGCAGAAGGTCAAGGACTTGAACTCGCGACTACTGGACGTTAGGCGAGAACAGGTCTTCCAGAGAGTACGTCTGACTGCGATCCATCAAACTGATAAAGTGGGGACTACGTATGTGGAAGCAGGCTAACATGTTATATAGGAGCGCGAGGCCGAATTCCGCGACCAGTCCGAACACACAAACTCGCGCGTCGTCCGCTGGTCAATTATCCAACTCGTCGTCCTCGGCGTCACTTGCGTCTGGCAATTATCGCATCTACGCTCCTTCTTCATCAAGCAGAAGCTTACCTAGAATCCCTTACTCGAAGAAACACCCCCTTCGTGCGCATATCTAACGAAGCGGTTGCGGGGCAGACTGGCGCAGGGGGCATATTCCAAATCAAAACTCATGCGAACACCGAGGGAGGTTTCGGTAAAACGTAACTTGTATTGTACGGCGGGTAGGGGAATACACGGCGTTGAAGAATTGATATTGCTGGGTGTTTAACGTTGGATATGTTCAATCGAGCAGGGCATTGCAGTATCGTATTAGTCAGAGTGTATACTCTTGGAAGTGTGGTGTGAGAGGCGGCATACGGTTCCTTCCTCTTTTCTTTCAAAGGGGTTGCATGACTCTGTATGCTGAATGGAAATTGGAGAAGGATGACGGATATGTTATCTCACCAATGAGTATGCTTCCAACACTGTTGATTTTTAAAGTTGATATTGCACTGTGAATTTGGCCTTCGTCGTTACAAGTACCGCTCTACAAAGAAATACTATAGTATATTCGCTTCCTTGGGCGATCAAGTATGTGAGCATGTTCTACTGGAGTAGCACCCGTTTTGATGTCCTTTCCCCATCTCTGAATAGAAGTTCGAAATGCCGATATTCGTGTTAAACTGGGATATTAAGTAGTTCATACAGTTTTGAACGTGTAACTTCTTGCTTAGAGCAGGTATAGCAAGGGGAGAGGTAATAGAGTAGAAGATATGCGGAGGGGCTTGATGCGCGTGAAGGCAATAGCATGGTTTTCTGTACACGATCCCATAAAGTACTACGAAACAATTAAGAATGGTAAAGGTGTATTCTATTTGGCAGATGTTGTGTTTTTGGTTTCCTAGGACATGATGATCACTGTACATTAGTTTTTTTTCCACCAACTGGACTTCCACCATCGGGTACAGATTACATAAGGAGCGCATTGGAATACTTTGCTGAATGGTGACTGGTTATTTTACCAACGGTTGAAGGATAAGAAGACCGGTTCTAGATACTGCTCAGCCGTGTGATTTTCCATAGTGCGATGGCATCCATGTGGGTAGTACGGTGCGATGTGACCTTGAAGTGTGAAAGTGATGGCGGGATGGATTTGATGTATTAGATTATGTAAAGTTGTAGGTAAGGTATGGGCATATTTGCAGTAATTATGTCGATTGCGAAGGGGTGTGTCTTTGACCGGTTGGACTTATTTTTTTTGGAAAGAACATGATGAGAAAACGACTTCGTCTCTTACAAAGTATGCTGGGGTATATTTGTTACATCTAACAGTTGAGTATTGCGGGTATAAAAGGGGTTCTTTCTCGAAGAACAATAGAGTAGTGAAATTCATGTGGCTAGATGTGAGTAACTATGTTATGTAGGAGAAATGCAGGGTCGATACGCCCCAATATTTACGTATAAGATACGACTTCATGTATGCGGAAGAGATATTGCGATATACAAAGCCATGCATGAATATATGAGAGTGATATAGCTAGTATCCAATTACTTCAGCATCGTCAAGGCAACATACCTGTATTTCTAATTCATTATGTGCCAATCAATAAGGGAACTCAAGATTAAGGACGGACTTTCTTACGAAGCACCCTACATCATCGCATAAAAAATCATTCATGCAGAAGAGTGTTCGAAACGACCAGGGGATATCGCTCCTGACGACGTGACAAGGGTTGATGACTAACTAAATATTTGTCAGAGAGAGGTGGTCAGCCGAGTGCATGACAATCACGTGACATGAACATACTGCCTAGATGGCACCATTGGTGACGACAGGGCACAACGCTAGCTGCAGCAACCAAGACAACGGATGTAAAGGATAGATTCAGGGTTGAGTCCGTTGTAGTCGAATTTTGTTGATCCTTTTCTTGCCTGTATCCATACCCACATATCAATTCCACAAGAGTAAAATCCCCATCTTAGTACCGCATGTACCCACCACCCCACATCATCACGAGAGAATCACGCCGTGGTATCTCCACGCAAGTTAACTGGGTTTACCTACGCCGAGCTCGGACCAAACTAGAGCGATGTATATATGGATCTTACGACCACGTGTGACACCGAGGCCCAGTGGGCTCGTGCGAGCCAAAGTAAGCAATACACCACAGCCACAGCGGGACCTAGTGGAGTACGATTATGGTTTTGATAGTGTGACTGCGAGAGGCTATGAAAAGACATGGTAATTCGTAACGAGCGGGGCGTGTGCGGCTAACTTTATGTGCTAATGGGAAAGACTTTCTGATGGGATTCTACAAGTAGATGTGTGTCGGTATACGTGCATGTGATTACTTTAGTGGCACATACTTTTTAGTAATGGAATCACGGCGCCTGTTTCCATGCTGTGTCTCAGTTAACACTGACTCGATAGAGTTACGTATCCGGCAGGCTGAGGTACACTCATCAACTAGCGGACACCTGCGCCGTTGAAACCAGAAAACGACATCCGTATCAGACACGAGGAGTCTATCCACACGAGGATCAGATGATACGAGACCAATACAGTCGATCCCGATTGAGATGTATCGAATTCGTAAAAAAAAAAAGGCACCAACAATTTCTTACTCCACAGTCTAGAATAGGACTGACAGTTCGGCCCCCAACCATACCCGACATTTGGGGGCGAAATCTCGGAAACCAAGCTCTTAGAGTTGAGCTGACATGCTCACCATGTGGAGTTTGAACGATTCATCACAGATTAGCGAGAGGGACTAGATCTAGAGGCTGGAAAGGGGACAATGCGCAAACGGGTATGGTGCACGTGCGCATTCGCCCGTGGATTCCGCCGTTAGGTTGGAACTGGTGTTTGTTGAAAGTTTTTTTTCCCTGCCGCTGCTAATGCAACACTACCGTCACGCTGACTGATGCACCAAAAGGTGCATGCCCAGGCTGCTGAGCGAAAAGCATGTTCGAACAAGGTTCGTCGGAATTTTGTAAGAAAGAAAGTTTGTGCGAGGGTTTGTGCTGCTGCATACTTACGTCGGCCGGCGGTTCCTGGCATTGAGGCCGAAGTGCTTTGTCAAGGCTGACAGAACATTTTGCATAGGATGCATGTTGCCGGACGGAGATAATAGCGTCAGCCGAAAGGTGCTTGGCAGGGTGCAATCGGCCCAATATCGCTTCAAACACGGCGTGGGAGGGGGATGCCGGCCGGCCCAGAAAGCGGCAGAACCCAATGTATTGCTTTACAAATGTTACTATTAGAGTAGGAACCAAGTAATAGGCAAAACGCATGCGCAAATCGGTACCGGCGACGTAACCATAGTCGTCCGACCCCACCCACCAGCTAGGCTCCAATTGGAAGCCCGGAAGCCTTCTCCGCATTTCAACAATGGTGTCGCAGATACCCACTGAATTGAGTTGAGTCTTGTTGCAGCAAAAGAAACCAAAGGTGGTTATCGTGCGTCGGTCGCATGGAGTAGGGGGGTATTGAGTCGGGGTATGACGTTGAGGGCACAATGCCATGGTTACCCAAACGGGTTTGGTCCGCAGACGTAATTAATAGTGCTAGTGTTACACTGCTAAGGTTATTGGAAGCCCAATGGCAGTATTGGGTTGCAGTACCCTAGGTTGACGTTGCCCTGCATATGCTGGTTTAATGATTCTGCAATAAGACCGCATGATTGATAAGACGACAGGAATACGAAAGATTGGGCAAATGTGGGTGTAGCAAGTAGAGATGGTATTAGCAAGTAAGGTGTCAGGGTACGAGTGACCGGTATGTCACGGCAGCGATGTGAGTGGAGAGCGGCACAAACGCGCGATTTGGCGTCATGATCGGCATACCAGCCGCCGTATAGGGGACATGTTGAACGGCAGAAACTTGGACGAAATCAAGTTGACGCAGGGTCTCATCATCCCATTGTTGCGGATTGGCGGGACGATGAACTAAGGGGTATGGCGCCCGCACAACCGTTTGCGTTGGCGGATGGATGACAGCGTTGTGGGGCCTCCGACAGGTGATTTGCACCCTGATATCCAGTCAGGGTAGCGGTGCTTGTCGATAGACAAGAAGAAAGGAAAATATGCTCACTTGGCAAAGTAGGATAGGGTTCAAAACAAAAATAGAATAATGAAGCAAAGGTGCTCTACTGCAGCTCGCACTCGTGAGGACACAGTTGTGTGGATGCGGATCTTGGTCGGAAATGGAAAACAGAACTCGGGGATAGTGACGTCATGGCTGATTGCAAGCGAGCGACTAATGCTAATGCTCATGCGCAAGCAACAAGAGCGCCGAAGCGACCACAAGACAAAGGTGATTTTCCTGCTGATTCTAGAGTGTTGTGCGAGTGGAAAGTATAAGCAAAACAATAATGCAGTATGTATTACATAGCAATGTATGCACTCTGCTAGAACTAGCACCTTCGGACCAAGTGCTCCGCGGAAATCTGTGTGTCGCGTGTGGCCGTGCGTCCGCTTTGAGATGTGGCTAGTGGTTTCCATCGGCGAATCGAAGGCCCAGATGTTCGGAGAAGCCGGGGTTACAGCAGCACCGCAGAGTCCGTGCATACGATAGGGCTGCACTGCCACATGGAAGTGTAATGGACCCTGCATATCGACGGATCTCGTCCGTCTATGCGATGCCACGTCGACTGGATGGAATGTTTGCTGTGCCTGTAGAAGCCATCTTTCAGCCTCCAAGGTTCGGAACAAGTCTCGGTAAAAAATCTTCCTTGCGTGGTGTTGTGGTGTGGTGTTGCTTGTTGCGTGTCGCACCGGCAGCTCCGTAGCAGACCAAGGGTACTGCCAGTCCCGAAGCGGAACCACTTGTTCCAGCTGCGGGTTGTCTGCGGGTTGAAGGGGGACATGCAGCTGATCTTGTAATACAGAGACCTATCACTGGTAGCATGTGAAAGACCCAGCTGCGTGGGTGTGGCTGTGTCTCCAGTCTGAGCAAAGCATCCGGGTGATGTGCATCTCGGTTGCCAGTGCCAGCAACGTGGTGCGGGAACCGTTTGGCCACCACAGATCCAGCTATCAATAGTACAGGGCAAAATATGGGGTAGGCTATTGACGGATAACTTCTTGCATGATACCACGTGGCCTTTTTGTCGTTTTACGCGGTCTTGTCGACTAGTAGTGTATGTACGAGCTGAGCATGCCGTGACGATTCACCCCCAAACTGTCCAGAGGGCAATTGTGAGTCACATGTCTACGCATGTGATCAATATCGATACAAGCGGAGACAGTGGTGTGGCTGGTGCATTCGTGTACTCGACATGTTGGTCGCACTGTCGCCTATACCGCGCGCATCGAAACGGGGCTACTCGGCCCAGCCAAAGCCGGCCGTTGTCGTCCGTGTCGCGACGAGGAGCAGCAGCAGCAGCAGCCTGTTGAACTGGCTACGAGGGTACCACGATAGGGGCTGTCTTGACCATCGGATGTTGCACGCTGCTCTGCTCTGCTCTGCTCGATTGGGGAAAACGATACAAGCGACTGCTTACCAAATCGACGGCCAGCGCGACGGCAAGGAAGCGTTTGGTCTAGTACAGGGTGTTGAGGTGGGCTCTCACACTCACGCTCAGGCACGTTGCGGCATGCCTGTAGAGATCCCTCGCAGGCGCATAGGCGAATCCTCGGTATTGAGGGCAGCAGCGGTAGTGGGCAAGCGTAGTCGTCTCGGGTGCTACCCGAACCCAGTCTAAAAAATTTCAATGGTTGAGGGTCGAACAGCCGGCTTTGCACAGCCTTTCGGCCAGACAGGGTCCGGCGGTGATATGCAGGGTAGTGGTGTGGATGCTGTCGATCGCGCCGCGGGCTTGCATACCTGGCGTCTGTTAGCGCACCCACCCCTGCAAGCCCCCCAGTCGACCTGGTAGACTTGCGTCATAGGAAAAGGTATGAAAGGAAAGGTCTGCGCTGGCTCATCATGCCCAAGTCGCTCCTGACACTCACTCCAGCAATTAACAATCACTGACGGATACTCGTCAAAGAAATCTCTTACTTCCGGCATTCCGCGCCCAGCCGGCCCAGAACACAATACTGCCTTCTACCCTATTCCACCCCCGACGACCCTAGATCACCTCATCAAGTCGTTCTTCACTCGCATCGGCGACCCATTTCCGAGTCATCGGCCGGCAGCCCGCTAGTATAAAGCAACTTGCCACCCGCACTGGTCCCTTACTTTTTCCCTTCCGACGAGATTATGTTAGCGCTGCCCACACGACGTCAGCACCTGCCAACCATACCGTCACCACCCTGCTCTCAACACCTCTATCAACAACACTCACCCCAGACATTCGCCGCTCAACCTACCTTCGACCAGAAGATACTCATCGACTACCTTGAGTCGCAGCAGTATCCTTTTGCCACCTCGACCTCACCCCCTAACTCGTACATGAGCGGCGCATACAGCACCGACTTTGCGAACCCGGCTATCCGCATTCAGCAGTCGACCCCTACACCACAGCTCCCCCAGGGCTTCACACAGCCGTCCATGCTCTCAGCCAGCAACGCCGGCTCCGGGCTCGAGTCCTGGAACAGCTATGGTAACGTGCAGTCACAGCCACTCCAGACTCTCCCCCAGCGACAGAACCGTGGCCACCAACGCGCCTCATCCTCTTCTTCAATAGGCTCAAGTGCCTCACAGTATCAGCCAGTCGGCCACGCCGCAGGCTACCAGTACGTTGCCCATTCCGAGAATTGGCCCTTGCGCCCAGACGACGCTAATAGGCATTCAAGATCTCTCCAGAACCATCTCCCAACACCCACACAGACCCCTACCCAGGAATCATTCATGAACGCCAACCACTTCAACAACTACAGCCACAACTCTGTCAACATGGACCACACCATGTCTGCACACATGTCGATGAAGCAGGCGCTCATGGAGCACACCGGTGAAGACGTCCCAGAGTTTGCTCACTCAGCAGGGCAGTCGGTCTCTAGTTACGGCCACGACTCTCCAGCAACACCACACACGGCGCAAGACGACATGGACATGAAGATGCCAGTAAATGGTAAGATACTCAGCAGCCGCACAGACGCCTGGCTCTTCGACGAGTTCTGTACTTACAACGAGCCAGAAATGCGCCCTGTACCCAAGTTCGAGAGAACCTATACCGACATTGCTGCCGACACTGGCTTCTACGAGCCCAGCACTTCGTCCACATCAGTGCCGCAGTCGAAGCCAGCACAGCCATCACTGCTGTCGCCATATCGCAGCAACACCAACGAGAACGTGCAGCGTGCGTTGCAGGCAGCACAGTTTGCACGCTCGCAATCGCCAAGCAGCACCGCCTCGAGAAGTGACTCACCCTTCCGCAGAGGCTCACCCTACCGGCAGCCTAGCAACAGCTTCACGTCACCCATGAGCACTGCCATGGCGATGCGTGAGCAGAACCGCCAGGCTGATGCGGCTTACGCAATGAAGTCGCACATGTCAGCTACTGAGGACGCTGAGCCCAAGACCATCTCGCCCAAGGATGCTCTCCTGGACTACAGGGACACGGATGAAGACTCAAAGGCGCCATTATTTCCGGATAATGGTGCTAACGAGTACGGCAACCAATACACGGGTGGCGAACAATACAAGAACGCCACGCAATCCAATTTCGACACCCCTTCATCACACTCCTATCGGCGCGATAGCTGGAACACTCCTCAGTTCTCACCAAACTTCTCAACGTCGACGTCGTCGTCACTGCAGCCATCATCCAACTTCAACTTTGCCACACCATCTCTGCAGAGCAACATGCAAGGTCTTTCCATGAACGCACCCGCGCAATACCGACAAAGCGCCAACAACATGTCATCAGTCGTTGACCAAACGCCCGAGTTTCCCGCACACATGACATCTATGGAGTCTAGTGCGAGTGAAGCAGAGCCGCCCAACGGTAGCCAGAATAGCGTGCTATCGGACCGATACATGAGCAAGCCAGCATCAACGGGCGCCGAGTCTGGCACATACTCATGCACATATCATGGGTGCTCGCAGCGATTTGAAACACCGCAGAAGCTCCAGAAGCACAAGCGTGAGGGACACCGGAGCGCCAATCTCAGCACGGCTATGACGTCGGCGGCTATCCTAGAACGCAACTCGCAAGCGGGACCCCACAAGTGTGAGCGCATCAACCCAACCACTGGCAAGCCTTGCAACACTGTCTTCTCCCGGCCATATGACTTGACCCGTCACGAGGACACTATCCACAATGCGCGCAAGCAAAAGGTGCGATGTGCACTGTGCGTCGAGGAGAAGACGTTCTCGCGCAACGACGCATTGACAAGGCATATGCGTGTAGTGCACCCCGAGGTTGATTTTCCTGGCAAGCATCGCAGGCGCGGTGGTAACCACGACTGAGTGAGCGGCCTTTGACGATGTGTGCGGAATTGACCGAAGACTGCGGAGATCGTACCCTTGCAGCCCCAGGCCTGCACATTTCAGAACAGCCGGGACCGTTGGCCTGCATGCAGCCCACGCACCCCAACACGGCCAACGTGACGCACAGAATCTTCGATGGGCATCTCGACTGCGAAGACTGTGTGACGACTGCAGACATCGCTTCACTCGACCATGCGCACAGACACGCCGGTCGTTCCGGAGTGACGGAGTCAAGCTATACGCTTATTTGCATTGCGCCTATGTTCATACTGTACTATACACAGATTCTGGCTGGCCAGGACTGAGACGGCGATGCCCCGATGGAAGCCGGCGTTGCAGGGCATTCAGTTGTCGCTGGACGGAACTGAAGCATCTGGCGATGCAACTTTGAACATTCGACTGTACAGTATTCTATTTTGTCCTTTTTCGGGGTTTGGATTGAAAGTTATGGGCATGAGATTTACAGCGGCCACTGAGCGGGGCGCATGGGACGATGATACGATATGTAAAAGCCATGGCTTCTGTATACGACAACCAAAAAAGGGCGAGTTTGTAGACAGCATTGTTTACTCTATTGGATCTCTGGTTATATGGAGTTATTAGACCTTGTATTTTCTTTCTTATCTGCTTGATCTGCTCTTTGGTGAGCACTTTTAATATGTACAACACTTTTCGAGTCTACAAACTGGTTCCTCATTACCTGTGAATACTCCTTTACACACTCGTACTACGTGCTTGGTGCTGTCGGGCCTTGGTCCGCGGTACCATGGCTCCATTTGTCATTGTGCCATCGCCAGCAGCCATCGATTCTCCCAGGTGCATGCAACCGACGACGCCGGCTTCAACGCCGAACATAATCTCAGCCAACGAGTTTGCAGTAAAGCACGTAGACTAAATTAGCACAAGTTAATCAACTCAGAATGATATCCAGTAACACTCGATGCCCTAGCACTCAGCTTCATCACTTCAGCTCCCTAGGACCTCTGCATGATCAAGCATTTCCGCGGACACTCAACTTTCCCCCCCTTTCAAAAGAGAAAAAAAAAGCAAACCATTCATCCAGACCAACGCTACTGCTGCACCATGCACCCCCCAAGTCTATAATCCCAGCCTACCATGGTAACGGAACCACACGCATAGTGCAACGTGAGCTGAGGTCTGCGCTCCATGCGTCTTTGCAGGGGAGAAAGACAGAGAAAAAAACAAACTTGAGGGCGAGATGCGATACTGAGTGAGAATGAGAGCGCTCTGGGCCCCGCCAGTGCCGGATGCTAGTGCCGACGGCTGGCTTGCGTTGCGTGGGTTGGGAAGAAAAAAAAGGACCATGCATGCGCTAGCGGGGTAAAGTAGCAGGGCAAAGCACAGCCTCTTTCTCTCTCCCTCTTACTTTTCCCCCCCTTGCAACCCTGTCCCTTTCTCTGCATGTCTCACACACACACGTACCACATGCTCCCTTCGTGCAGTGCGACATACCGGGGATAATAGAGTTTTTTCTCTCTCCTCACCGTTCTTCTCTCGGCGTTCTAGAAGGTCTACGCATGCAGCATGGATTACAATAGTGTAATTTTTTTCTTAAGCCACATGGAACGAGAACGTGAGATGCTTTAGCCTCCTTTTTTTCTCTCCTCTCTTTGGAATTTGTCAATCTTCGATTTAGGGGAATCCAGAAGTTCTGCACACTCTAGCGGGGGTGTATGTGTGTTCGGGGGGTTAACAGGTTTTAGAGCCATAGTGGAAGAAGTGTTGTTGTCTACCATATCCCCCCCCCCCAAAATAGTATTTTTTTTTTACAGGCGGACGAAAATGCTCGGGGCCGAGACGAAGAAAAAAAGGTAAAGGTAGCTAGCTGGGCAGACATGCAGGATAACGCGTAACGACATTCTTAGATAGATTGTTTCCTAACTGCCACATCCCGACCCACATTACTCTACCCATCCTCGTCTTTCTTAATCGTTCGCTGCAAATATCGGCATCATAGACGTGCCGTAGACCGTTTCATAATTGCGTTTTTTTGCGCCCCGCTCCGCTGCGCTCCCGGTAAATCGATAAGGATGGGTACTTTTACGTGGGGCGACGTCTCCACATGGCGCTGCACATACATACATGTTTATCTAGGAGTATCCCCCCTCTTGTTTGGCCGTTGGGCGCACCACGGATGCACATGTTTCGTCTGCTCGGGGAGTTGTGGCGCCGTTATGGCTCCGTACTTGCCTTCCTTGTTCATGGACATGGGTGGGGGGATGCACGCGACTAGTTCACACGCATACGCACACCTAGTACGTTGGTATCGGCGCCGCGGGTGTGTGTAGGCGAGTGGGTATGGCTGACGGGAGATTCATCGGGGATGCGGAGACACAAGAGAGAAAAATGCCTTAGTTGCGCGCGAGTTGCTGAGTTGAGAGGCGCTATGTGGGCTGCGTTGCGTCATTTAGGGCTGAAGGATGCGAAAGGGTTCAGCGACGGGTTTTTTTTATGGGTAGGCCAGCGGGGGTTTGTCCATGGAGTAGGGAAACGCAGACGCGGTGATATTGCGGGTCTTTCATTATGCTTAGAGTAATACGCCCAGTGCATTATACAGAAACACGTACGACTATCTATCAGAAACGCCATTTTAGGACAATTGTGCGACAGCAGGCTACAACGAGTGTGACGCCTGGCTGGGATTTGCACCACCGATCCATGAAGACTTTGTAACTGCGGAAGAACTCGGCATTGCCGTATTGCTTACCTTAATACAGTATTCAGTACACCAAGCCCTTCGTACGCGTCAGTCGATTATCGAAAGATATTAGTATACATACATGCAGCCTGCTGATTCGTCACTTACCCCATCTTGGCTGTACCCACGGCCTACCTTCCATACTTACCATACCGACCCAAGACTTTTCCAACACCAAGCCAAACTCGTCTAATCTCCCCCTCGAAACTAAAAGAACAACCGAAATATATACTTTTACTCTCTCATCAGATTATAGTATACTGTACGGCCCTTCTACTATCCGGACTATGTGTAGGATATTCGCTTCTACCCCGATTCCCCCAACCATGCAATAGGCCACGTCCTCTCGTTCCGCGCACTCCCATACTACTGGTACTTCCCTCTTACTCATCCTCCCCCCGGCGGAAAGGAAAACCTCGATTCGAGGTTGAGAGCGCGATGCGCGGGGCTTTTGCAAATGCGTGCGGGTTATAGAGGGGGTATGCAGGTTAATGTTACGTTGGAAGTCCGTTACCTCGGTGCAATGCGTGCTTGGCGGTCGGGCTTTGGTGGATGGAAGCATCCGGGGAGGGAATGAGCCGTGGGTGGAAGCATCCGTGAGAACATCCGTGGAAATCATGACCCGTGCGAGGGGATGAGTCGTGGTGCGGTTTATGTGGATTCGAAAATGATTCATACTTACTGCGAGTTAGCACATACGAAGGACCGTACAGGGGGTTCTGAACTAGGTGTATCAAGTAGATTCTGCAACCAGTACTAAATACACTAGGTCAAATTTATTATCATGATATTGTTAGAAGAAGATCAGGAAAGGCTATGTAATTTCTTCTCTTATAGCAGTTTCTTGCTTATTCTGGTTAGATCTATAGGCACACGTATATGAAAGAGTTTGGAAATATTAAAAAAGGACTTTTGAAAGCATGCAACTTCTCAGCAGAAGCCAAGATATGAATAAGAAAAAAATGACTAGTAGTGGTTAAGAATAGATATGGAATAGTACGATGTAGATGGGAAGTTTTTTTTTGGATGAAAACTGACAGATACAGCACTTGTCATTTCAAACGGGACCCCTGTATGTTCCGTCGTATGCGATAGTCTGCAGTACGTACATATTGTACTACTAGATGCACAGGCTGCAGCGGGGAGGCGGGACTTTCGGGTGGATCACTCGGGGCATGTACCTCGGGAGCGGGAGCGTGCGCATAGTTAGCGTTGATGCTCTATTGTCAAATAACTGACGAAGAGCAGAGATAATGCTTTTCAATTTTGACGTCACCATCTTGTAGGTGTTTGAAAATGCATAGGTTTGCAGTTAAGCGTGCAAGATAAGATGTGTAAGAAGACCTTGCTTCTCGCTTAAAACTAGCGTTGGCTACTTATGATACTCTGATGAGCTAGCATGATGGTGCGATTAGGTATTCACACATATTGCAATGCGAAACATAGAAAAACTGGCGGTTCTACACACAAAAATATTGATTGTTGTAAATTTACTTCTTCCCATATTGATATTTCAACAAAATATTCACACGATGTTTTGGGAATTAGAGTTTGCCAGCTCACAATGCGTTGTTATGCATAGCTTCCCTGTAGAGTCGCTTATCCCAAGGTAGTACCAAAAACACTACTGGATACCCCTTTCGATGCCCACCTGGAAATCTAGATCATGCCATAATGTCATCCATGTTCTTTCAATACACATTAGTGGACTCGATTCATTTGAAATGACAGCTCACTTGTAACGTTGGATGATTGTTCCCAACCGACTCTACCATCTTACACGGTAAAGCTCAGGGGTTATCTCCAACGATTACGTTTCGCCAAACTTTGCCAATAAGCAATTAGTAATCATAGCTTGTAATTCTGTCAAATCAGAGCGACACTTCTTGTAATACAAAGACAGGTAGCGTGCATACGATATACTTGTGCGTATTGAGAACTTGCCTTAGCGTGCCTTCCTGGCATTCCAGATACGGTGGCTCTATTTACACCCGGATCCTTTTACACATCTACTCACATCGTACGTCTTTGCCACTAACTCAGCAGTAGTTGTACCGGTCACTTTGCCAAGTGACAACCCCGCCCGGATCCGTTGAATCGAACTTCCATAGTAGGTCAGAAACAACTGCGCTTGCACCATAACGTACACAAAGACCACCATGGTCACCAGCACCAAGTATCCTGGCCTGGAGGTTGCAGTTCATGTTGATGATGAGCCATTACGGGAGTACGATGATGGCGACGAGGATCCTCCGTTAAACACCGTTACAAGATACGTCGAAGCTAAATCGGGGGCTGAGTTTGCGGTGATAACCATCTTCAAGCCACCCTTCTCTCCACCTCATGGAGTCATGATAAGTCTCATTGTCGACGGTAGTCCAGTGACCTCCCGGTGTTGCCGACAGGACGAGCTCTTCGATCGCGTATTCAAAATGCATGCTGTTCATCGGAAGATTCACGGAGAGTGGGTGATGCAGAAGCTTCGTTTCTCGGAGTTGGACATTGGTATTTATGACAAAAGCCGTTTTATTCATATGTACTCAAACTGTTACAGTAGAAGAGGCCCCTGGACTAGCCGCGAACGTCACAGATGTCAGAAATGCTTTAAGCAGCAAAGGAAAGATTACACTCTTGCTTCACTTTGTAAAGAATATTAGAGAAATAGGGTCGGATGTGTACTGGGAAAGAAATGTCGAACTCACGCCACTTGATGAGATTCCGGGGGAGGCGCTGAAAGAAAATGCGCTCTCACACCAAGCAGCGTATGTATGGTAATCTGACAGCAGCTATGTAGAGAGCTAACTAGACGCAAAGCTTGACTGCCCCAGAAAGGTCTCAGAGCCGATCCGGACAGAAGCTCAGAGTGTATAGTCTCGCAGAGAAAGAGCCATTTGCAACATTTCATTTCAAATACAGATCTCTTGGTCAGTACCATTCATGCCAATAAACATAAATACTGACATACACGCCTCAAGCGAGCCTCGAGGCCCTTGGAGTTGTACCCAGAGATGATTCCATGACGGTTGCGCTAGAGGAAAGACCAGAAGAAGACCTTACTCCCGATGAGCTGAGGGAGCTAGTTCGCCGCATGAGACAAGTACGTATACTGAAATTTTCGCGAATAAAATTACTGAGCTGGTGATAGCGAGAAGCGCAAAGCAATCTCATCAAGAGGGAGACAGCAGACAAAGGCCCGATCAAGCATGAAGAGATTGCCGACGATGAAGAGGCCACTGCAGCTAGATCACGCACCCACAAGCGTCCACGAGCTGACCCAGAAGTCACTACGATTGATTAATGCGGTTCTGATCACTAGCATGATTGCTCTACTGCGCAGAGTTTTGAATACGAGGACCGACGCGCAAAGATACCAAAATGACAATGCCCCCACGAACATGCATTTGAGTGCGGAATCTGTTGAGCTGACCAGTTGGGTAGAACCGAATGAGCTGCAGAGCCAGCTGTACGGAAAACTAGTGCGCGCGGCGGCAATGACGCTCTTCAACAGGGCGTGTCTAAAAGATCTTACCGATTTGGACTTATGGGTAGGGAGTGGTGGAGATGACATTCCAGGTGATCTTATTTCAGAGAGTCACAAATTAATGCAGACTTTCGTATTCTCAGGTATTCTAGGATAGTGTAATGGGCGGCCTTTTAATATCACGGATCTTCATTACTGCTCTCCCCCACTATCTTATTGTCTTTTCCGCCCATGTGATCTTCAGTCTGAGACTGAACATAAAAGTTGTTCCCTACTGCCCAGCTGAAGGCTCAGACTATCACCGAGAACAGATGAGATTCACTGTCCGAGAAATCATTGAGTTAAGTGAAGGTGAGGAAACTGTAGCAATGTCATCTCAGATCACGGATGAAATAATCTCTACCCACTACGGCCGAGCTAGATGGTAATGTAAGTGAACATCAAACGAGAGTCATGTTTAGTCAAGAGAGAAGCTGACCATTCCGAAGAGCTTCTTCTTTATAAACAAAATACATTGCACCCTACATCCACCTCGATCTCTACCACCGCGGCGCCGTCGCAGTAGGCGAAGCGTACACCTCACTCCACGTGGCCGTATACTTTGAACTGCCCACAATAGTCTGACTCCTCGCATCCACATATGTCGCGCTCGTCACCACGCTATTCGTCCCAATCCACGTGCTCCATGGCGTCGCCGTCGAAACACCTTTGATGGGGCCCACTGCAACGGCAGTCGTCTCCGGCCACGCACCAGACCACACCATCGGGCCTGGGATAACGTAGTCGGTGGGACAGGGGGCGGCTGATCCCGTTGGTTTCTTGGTTTCAGTCGAGCAGTAGATCTGTATTTGCATCAGCATACCCATCATGTCACCAACAACAACCATTAGTATAAGAAGAAGAAGAAGAAGAAGAAGAAGAGAAGGGAAACCTACGTTATGCACAACTCCCGGATCCTCATACGAATACGCACCCGGAAACCCGACTCCCTCGGGCAACTCGACCTCTCCCTCCCCCACAACCTCAATCTGCACACAATCCGGATAAAACTGCGCCCCTCTCCGCGGATTCTGCGCAAAACTCACGTCACCCTCGTGCAAGCCGATCATCTCAGCGCGGATAAGGTACGGTCCTGCTTTCAGGCCTGCGGGTATGCGCACATTCATGCGTCCGTAGTTCGCTCTAATATCCGCCGTGGTGCTCCATTTACCGGGCTGCGGGAAGGGATTGTTTTCGATCTTTCCGGCATGCCAAAGTTTGACAAAGGAAGAGTTGGTTGGGGGGTCTGGCGAGATGTAGATGAGTGAGGGGCCGTGGTGCGAGTATGCGATTACTTCGTCGGTGTTGTTGCGGAGCTCGTGGTGCCAGTCGAAGGTTAAGTTATCGCCTGGAGCTACTTTGATGGTATCATGGGCTTGGATATCGCCCATGACGTTGCAGCGCATGTCGATGGAGGAGAGGTCCTTGACGGGGGAGTTGTTGTAGCCGCCTTTCCCGTTTTGCCCGTTGTATCCGGGTATTCGGATGCCGGTGAAGGTGCCTTGGTCAACGCCGTTGACGAATACGCCCTAAGAGTGGGTTAGTAGGGGATTAGTTTAGAGGAGAGGCTCAGTGTACCCAGATGAACGTGTGGGCGCATGCTTGGCTTGCGAGGAGCGAGAGGATGAGAGCGTAGTTAGGAGCCATTATGACAGCGAGAACGGAGAAGTCTGAGGAGATGGATGGGCACAATGTGATGTGTTTCTGAAGATCTCCATGGCTACATTTATAGCGAAATGGTTCACTATGTGTGTACACACCTGGGTGCAGATGATGAGGCTAGTGTATTGCGATGCAATATACCCGTTCTGTCCCATATTATTAATTTAGTGCGGGTGCCTAATCCATCCACACAGGCATGCAGATAGAACATATCAGGCGGAGAGATCGGATTCATGCCCGATTCTGCACGACATACGTGCTGAATATAGGTATTCGTTTTGGTGACATGCACATGGAGAGTTGGAGACGCCCCGCGGACACTGTATTGTCATGGCAGTACTCCGTATAGTGGGGTACAGTCTTTGCAGTTTCCGTGAGAGCTACTTTAGGGCTTGCCGATTTCTTGGTTATCTCAATGGATGATGTAGAGGGGTTAAGTGGAGAGATATGAAGGCGTATGCCACAGCCTTTTACGAAGACGTGTACGAATGATTGGGGTTGTATAGGCCTAAGAAAAAGTATTGCGGGCAGATGATACGTCGTGAATGGTATAGCTCAAGCCCCCAAAGATGCTGTAAGCGTGTCACGTCCATCACTCTAGCATTGGATGTATTCATCAGGGAGGCCTGTTCGGGTCTCAGCATTGTGGGTAAAATGCCTGCTCTCACCAGCCAATGGCAGGAAAAAATGACAATCGGATAGGCAATCGGCTTTTAGTAGCAACTCCAACACGCAATGCGACAATACAAAACCATGTATATTCACAAGAAGACGATGATGGTGAAGTTCGATCCACGTGCCGCAGAGCCCCAGATCGGTGTTTGCACACGCGCGATCTCTAGCCCCGCGACTTCCCCCGCCGGTGATTGGCCTATGCCGCAACCACCGGCGCTATTTTATCAGGTCCGACGCTGCTGACTGCACTTGACCTCCCATTTCCCTCACCCCCAAGGCTCCTGTATAACCGCGCACACACACCGCACACCTTGCAAGCAACGCTCCGAGGTATAAAAGGCCATTCGTTTTTTGGATTCTCTGCCGCAACTTTCCTGTTTGTTATTTGCTTGGCTTTTTTGTCCAATCGTAGCGAGGTAAAATGGCGCGTGGCAACCAGCGTGACAAGGCTAGGGAGAAGAACCTCAAGGAGCAGGCCGGAAAGGTGGGTTTCTCCTTGCCCGATGCTACTAGGAAGATAGCGAGTGTGGTATTCACAAAGTTGCTGACATTTTGACAGAAATCCAAGAATACGGTATGTTTATTGTGAAGACATGCTGAATACACCGCCAAAAGAGAGCAGGCGGCTAACAGACAGCCTCTTAGCAATCCGGTACCGAGTTTGCCCGCACCAAGGAGAACGTTGCGGCCATCATGCGCGCTAAGCAGGCTGCTGGTAAGTCGTCCCACTGCCCGCCACGTATCTGCTGCGTTGTTGCAAAATGTGGATGCAGACGTGGCGTTGTTGAATACCTGTACTGACATTCGGTATAGCTGAGGCAAAGAAGGCTGAAGCTGCCAAGAAATGAGCAGCTGCAAGCGCGCTGTGGCAACGATTACAGCGGCAACTTGAACAGCCCCAGTTATTGAGCAGTGGAGTTTTACGGAAAAGGCATTGGTGGGTTATGAGTTACAGGTGTTGGTGAATTGCTTGGATACCAAATACACTGATTTTTGATTTTGCAATGTTGTGATGTTGCTTATTTCGCTGATCCAACTGTGAAGCCTAACCAGCACTTTGCCCGACATTTTCTTGTAAGTTCCTCACTTGCAAACATCACCATAGTCAAGTCAAAGACAAGGGAACAAAAATAGTGGCGACCACTTGGGTCCAGCTCTAATACTTTAAAAGGTTTTAAACGCGAACAAAATCCCTGCCAAAAGTACCCAGCAGGCACCACAGCGCGGCAATACATCGCAGCATGTGGGGAATACGGTATAATGCAAACGCCCTTACAAATGATAAAATGGTATAAAGAAGCCAACGAGAAAAAAAGAAGGCACCCAAGTGGAAAGCCTTCTCTCTCGCCGACCTCGTCATAAGAATCTCGCCTCCTTCCCCTCTCTATCTTTCTCCTGACTAGAACACCCAACCCCAACCACCCATTAGACCTTGTTGCAATTTCGTTTCGACCGTTTAAGCAATCATGCCAGCATAGCCGCCAAAGCTGTTGATAGCCGCAGTAGGAGGGAAGGATCCCGCGCCGCACAGGCACTGGCACGAGCAAGCAATGCCCTGACCGTCCATACCGGATCCAGCAATGACCTGGGCAGGAGGAGGAGGAGAAGCCGCAGGGGGAGCGGGTGGTGGAGGAGCTGCGCCCGTAGGAGCAGCTTCGCCGCCTCCGGCAATGACGCCGACAGTGGAGGGGGCTGCAGCCGCACCAGGGTCGACGATTTGAAGACCGCCTTCTACGAGGTCGGTGCCGTTGGTCTTGATGGCCAGCGTCTTGAAGTCGGCCATTGTCTTGTCACCAGTCTCGGCGGGGTTGATGGAGAAGACCATGCCCTTGCCGCAGTGAACTCCGTTCTTTTGCTTACAGTAGAACCCTTTTTAATGTTAGTTGCCTGTCTGTATTGTCGCAAAAAGTTTTTGTTAGGTAGGCTTACAGAGCGGCTCGGTAGTCTCGACAGTCATGTTCCAGGTGACGCCAGGCATACCCTCTGGGTTGGGCATGAAGCCAGAGTCCATTCCTCCCTCCATCTTCTTGCAGGGCTCGGCGAACGTCGACTGGGTGACGGTGTGGTTCTTCTGCATGAACTCGAAGACGACCATGTCGCCGACGTTGGCCTTGATGGTGTCGGGAGTGTATTCTAGCTTGGGGGCCATGCCCGCTGCAACAGGCTTCATTCCACCAACAACAACCTACCATGTATTAGCCTAAGGGGGCTCGAGCTTTTAATAGTGTGGACTGTGCTTACAGTGTGGATTTTCTGACCAGCTGCGGGAGCAGGAGCAACCTCCATAACCATCATCTCGGCAGAGGCCAAGGCGGCGGCCAAAGGTAGTGCTGTGAAGTACTTCATTATGACTAGTAGATTGAGTATCGTGTGTTAAAAACCGTTTTGTCGTGAAAAGTGAACGTAAGCCTGCACTGCAAGCACTAGAATGTACGATGAAAAAAGTGAAGGATTGAAAGGGCACTACGAGGGCCGGCTCGGACAGTAAGAAGCAGATGAGGAAAAGAGAAAGAGAAAGTGGAGCACCAGTATTATGAGGCAGATGTCTTGATGTAAGGAGAAAAGCCCTGTGCCTGGGGAAGTGTATTCCTTAAATCCACGCATGAAATTGTCGATTCTGAAGGGTTTGCGCGCCGGTCGCATGCCGGGCGAAACACCAACCCCCTGGGCTGGGCAATCCAGTACGACTAAGGAAACTTGGTTGGAAAAATGGCGAGATTTTGGCGATCCGCCTGCAGTTGCGCGTGGGTGCGCGCTTGGGGTGATGCTCGAACCGTTGGAAGAGGGTTGGAGTGCGTCGCGGTGGTGTCGCAGATCTGTCTCGCCTCTCGCTGAACAGCACGCTTTGGGTAATCTAAGAGCCACGAGGCCTATAGCACTAGCGACACAACTACTCATGATGCCTGGACAATGGGGCTGGAAAAGATCAAGCCGCATAAGAGGCGGTGCCAACTAATAGCTCGCGGCCTACTTTCCCGTCGTCTTTGAGGCACAAACTGTTGGTGGTAAGTCGCGCCCAGGATCATGGCAATGAATATCCTTACGCGCATTGGCTGCATATGCTGGCAATTATCCAGGCCCAAGTCAATCGTCGTGCAGCATGGCGGGCAGCCACGCAATACATATGCGCTGCAGTTTATTCTTGTGCGGAAGAGTTGTGAGCCGCCTGCTGCTGCTGGCCCGCATGCAAACCCGTGTAGTAACCAGCATAGTACCACGACATCATGATGTTTTTCAGGGTTTCGTCTTTAACTGCAGAACATCATCAGCACACGGCCCGCTGCCCGCTTCCGACTGTTCACGTTCCCCGGAAACAACGGCTGTCAAAATCAGTAATACGTACCTGTTCTGAGCATCGATTGGGGAACGGCCTCCGCTAGAGATTCGGCAGCACCTGGGACCGATGCAGCCTCAGCACTTGGCGATCGGGTGTCGTGGGTGTTTTGCTGCTCGGATTGTCCTGGTTCCTGGTTCTCGTTAGCCAGGGCTCAGAACTCGAGTGTTTCACTTGCGACATGTACACGTACCTGTTGCACAAGGCCAGTTTTTTCCGACTGGGCAACGTAGCTTATCCCTGCATTCGACATATTTGCATCGTCGTTAGGCGCGACGCCATTGGCCTCTGCTGCTCCTGACGTTGGCTCTGTTTCCTCTACCAGGTCGCCATAGCCCCTGCTGGCGTTAATCTAATTTCATCTTGACAGGCTCCAGGCAAGCACCCAGCCAGCACTTACTCTCGCAGTTCTTTGAGCTCCTCTTCCGTGAGCACGTCTTCTAGTCGCTTGCCAGACTGGTGGATGCTATGATACTTCTGCGTCCGCAGGTTAATCAAACCTTTTTTTTCCTGCACAGCTTGGCAACAGAGGCGGATTCTTACCTTGTACTCGTTGAGCGCGTCATCCCAGGAACTGATGAGGAGAGAGTCGTCCCAAGCATGCTTATCACTCATATCAACGACTGGCGCCATGCTGGTGAAGAGCCAGGGCGTGATTTGTGAATCCAGTCAGGCTGCTTTGTATGTAGAGGCGATACAAGTTAACTTTAGAGACGCGCAATGAGCAGCGGCAAGATCAACAGTTCAAAGTCTATGCGAGTGAGCACTTGTACGAGAATGGTCAAGGAATACGCGAGCGGATGGGCATGTGGTGAGCTGGTCAACTGGCTTGGCGAGGGTCTAACTTAGCGCAACTGCCCTCAAAAAAAGTTACCGCGCCCGAGCTCTCCTCCGAACTTTTGCGCGTAACCACCGTCGCGACCACATATTGTCAACACAATTGCAACTAACCACAATGGCCCCTGACGATACAAAGGGAAAGAAGCGCAAGAGTAAGAAATGGCGACATGGGGAAAATAATTTTGTAGTTTTGTCGGCTAATATCGCATAGGCGCACCTGAGACAACGCCCAAGGCAAAGAAGGCCAAGAAAGCCGACGATGTAGCCGCCAGCGAGCCCAAGCCAACGCGCAAGTCTGCGCGCAAGCAAGCTTCTGACTTCATGGACGTTGACGAAGAGAAGGAAGTTGCGCCTGTTGTCGCTGCTGAGCCCGTCAAGCCCAAGAAGGGCAAGCAGAGCAAAGCCGTCGCTCCCGCAAAAGTACCTGAGCTCACCGCAGAAGTGCCAGAGGTCGCAGAGGTCCAGGAGAAGCCCAAGAAGCAGGCAAAGAAGGTAAAGACTGCTGTTGTAGAGGAGACTGCTGTCACGGAGACTCCCAAGGAGACGATAAAAAAGACGAAGAAGGCAAAGGTCGCTGCTGATGTTCCAGCTGTCGTAGAGGAGACCACTGTAATCACCAAGCCCAAGAAGACAAAGGGCGGCAAGAAGCAGGAAGCGCTTGAGCCTGAGCCCGAGCCAGAGGTGGACGCCACAGAGCCCACCGCTCCCTCAGATGACGAAGACGTTGCAGAAGACGACCAGACAGCAGCCCTGCTTGCTGGCTTCAGTGACGACGATTCAGACGATGCCGACGAGGATGTCGACTTCAATGAGGAAGAAAAGATTCCAAAACTCAGCGCAAAGCAAAGGAAAGCCATTAAGCAGGCCGAGGACGCCCCCAAGTCCAACCAGCCTGGTGTCATTTATGTCGGGTACGAACACTTTACCCCACTCCTTGGTATTCTGCTAACTCTCAAACTAGTCGTGTGCCACGAGGTTTCTATGAGCCTCAAATGAAGAAGTACTTTTCTCAGTTTGGAAAGGTTAACCAGCTACGCTTGTCGCGCAACAAAAAGACGGGCGCCTCCAAACACTATGCTTTTGTCGAGTTCCAATCACAAGAAGTAGCTGACATTGTCGCCCGGACCATGAACAACTACCTCCTCTTCGGCCACGTCCTCAAGGTTCACCTTATTCCCACCGACCAAGTACACCCTGATCTTTTCAAGGGAGCCAAACAGCGGTTCAAGGTCGACCCCCGCAACAAGAAGGCGGGCCTTGAGATGGAGCGTGGCGCTGAGCGCTCGCAGTGGGAGAAGCGTGTTGCAAACGAGAACAAGCGGAGAGATACCAAGGCTAAGGAGCTAAAAGAGATTTTCGACTACGAGTTTGAGGCACCGACACTCAAGACCGTCGACAGCGTCGCTGCGCACACTACCGTAAAGAAGCTCAAACCTTCGGAGTCCAAGAAGCTTATCACCGATACGCCTGCTGAGGAGGCTACTGTTGCTGAGCCAAAGGCCAAGAAGGGCAAGAAGGGAGCAAAGGCTCAAGCTGAGACACCAGTAACAGAGGCCGTTGAGGATACCAAGGTAGCCTCTCCTGCACAAGTGAAGAAGGGCAAGAAGGCTACAAAAGCAGCTGTTCCAGAGAAGCCTAACGACGTAGCTGAAGAGCCCGCAGTAGTCGAACCTGCCGCTGACAAGAAGACCAAAAAGGACAAGAAGCGAAAGTCCGACGTTGCACTTGAAACTACCACCGCCATCGAGGAGGCTGTTGCCGAAGCACCAGCCAAGAACAAGAGGGCGAAGAAGGAAAAGGAGAGCAAGCCCGAGACCATTGTCGAGGAAGTCGAGGAGAAGAAGGTTGCCGCAAAGCCCAAGAAAGCTAGTAAGAAGGTGAAGGCTTGAGTGTTCATACTCATCAATATGATACATTAGGCTTGGTCTTGAGTTTTTTGGTCGTTCATCCCGCATGTGTGTTTAGTTAAATTCGCGTGGCATGGAAATGATCTAATCTTGTGACTTGGTTTTGTGTCTTAGCGGTTGACGAATTTCTTCTATTCTTCGACAGATGGAGCAAATTTATGAAAAACGAAGGGTCGGTATAAGGCAGGATAAGATAGGACATACCAATCAAAAATGTTTCCATCACTACCAAACTCATCCATAGGGCCTACCCTCATGTAGGCAACACCCTGTAGTCATGCTACGGCCCGAATGATTGCATGGCGCGATCTTCCCGCCCTTCCCGCCCCGTACCGTTAGCCTAGCAATTGAAACGCGATATATTTAACCAAGTCCGCAATTCCTCACATGCCCATTCCCTCCCGTTCCCCATCTCCCATCCTCCCCCATTCAAAACCCATTGCAAATTTCCCCAATGGCGAACGCAGACCCCCGCCTCTCAGCATCCCAAATGCACGAATCCGTCACCTCGCTTCCCCCCTCAACTAGACACATAATCACGCACGATGCACAGGGAAAAAGCGTCGTCCATTCCGCTCCGGCACTGCAGTATTACGGAATGCCCGGTGTGGGTGGCACAGCCCGCTCGTGTACGTCCTCCTTCCCCATTTCCAAAAAAACAAACCACCAACCCCAACCCCACATCCATTTACCCATAAATTTAAAACTTCCTGACCCCAAGAAAAGATGCAACTGCTTCAACCCCAGCAACATTTGAAAACGAGGCAGACGTAAATGCGTACCTCGCCCCTACTGGCCCCCAAAGTTTCACTAGCCGCGACATCGTATCCTCAGGCTCGGGATCGCACGTGATAGTCTGCGAGTTGGGTCCCGGACAGGCGAGCCAGATGCACCAGACGGTATCGATAGATTACGTAGTGTGTACGCATGGGCGATTGAACATGCAGACGGGGAGTGGGGAGGTGATTGAATTGAGGCCTGGTGTAAGTTTATTTCCTTTTTTTCTCTCTTTATTTCTTCATTTCCATCGCTCTTTTTTCTTTTTCTTTTCCATGGTATATCTAGGGTTGAAGCTGACAAGGTACCATATAGGACCACGTTGTTCAAAGAGGAACCATGCATAAGTGGATCAACGGGTCGGATACGGAGCCCACGCGCTTCATTGCTGTTACGGTGCCATGCGAGCCGTTCAAGATTCCGGGGACGGACAAGACGCTGCAAGAGGTGCATGTTGAGGGGAGTGAGGCTAAGGATTGGGATGTGAGTCAGTTGTGAAGTACATGTCAAATCTTGAATTGATACACCATTGGAAAGAGAGCAACACAATGCAGAAATAAAACATTGACAATGAAAGAAGTTAATGGTTTCATTTCTCGCTAACAACACAATACAAAACTGCTCATCTAACTCAACTGGCATCCAGGTTAATGACTCCTCCGAGAACCATCCCTGTCTTAACCAGTGCCTGATACGGCGAGCTTCATCAGATGATCCATGAATGTTTGCAAACTGACGTCATCGGTGAAAATGGTCTGTGCGGTCTGCGCAACGCCACCATAGGTTCCGGTAGTGTGTGTTGTCGAAGGGTTGAGCTTGCTGAGTAGGAAACGGGCTTGCGAACCACCAGCATCGCACACAATGAAACGGGGAAGTGGGAAGCGATCTTGGATGAGCTCCTTGGCGTCCTCCTTGGGCGCTTCCAAGAGCGTTCGGAAGTTCTCGTAACCCTCTTGCTCGTGATAGCCAGCCTTCCTCCATTCTGCCATAGTCTCGCCGTGGAAAATGAGGATGTGGAAGAATGTGTCGAGCAACAGAATGGTCTCATTTTGAATCGAGCTGGAGTCCAGGAGTACAGGCTGACCGCCTTCATGATCAAAGCCGTAGCTGTCCAAAGTCGGTTGAATCATGATAAGTGAGTTGCTGACATCCTCGCGGTTCAAGACGTGACGGTAAAAGGCAGTCTCATCAGGAGAGTTATTGAAGACTTGCAAGAATTGCGAACGACGGAGATGGAACATGAACTGCGGGTATAGCGTGAAGTTCTTTTCGAGCCTGGTATGAAGTTAGCAGTGAGTTTGACGGATTTCGTCCTTCCGATATTCGCACTCGACGCAGTGTTACTATCCCGAAGCTAGGAGTGATATGCATACCTAAATGACGAAGGATCGTCCTTCCTGTATTCGGCAAAGCGAGCGCATAGTCTGATCAACATGCGGTCAACCCATCTCAAGACGTCTGGGCCGTCGTCAACCTCAGCCTTGAAGACTGCTATCCTCGACATGAGTACTGCAGCGGCTTCTTGATCGAAGGATTGGGCAATGGCGGGGTCGCCAGACGGACCACTCAGCGGTCGAGCCACGGTGGTAACTGTGGGATGTTAGCGCTTGTATTTGGCGTCGCAACGATACTCTAACATACCTCTCAGGTGGTACTGGCCAGACGAGTGCTGGTAGTGTGTGAGGAATTGGATAAGAGCCTGCTGCTGGCCTGATTGCATCTGGCTCGGTCCTCCCTGACTGGCAATCTCAAAGTAAATACCGTACGAAGACTCGGGATCGATACCACACATCTTCCATGCGCACGTGCTTCCAATACCAATCTCGGTCTCGCCAACTGCTACGGACTTCTTGTTGAGTGAAACTGCATGACCAATTAGACCACTAAGTTTCAACTCCTTTGTGGTAAGAACCTCGAGGCTGGCGTTGAAAGCCATCAGGAGATTGTCGTCAGCGTCTTTGTTAAAGACACGCGCAAAGGACTGCTTGTACATGGACGAAGTAAAACTGTCCGTCAAGATCATATGTCCACCGGTTGAATTGGCAAGGCCACGCATTTCGAGCAGACCGACCTGGTCAAGACATCCGGCAAATATATCGACAATATGGCCGTTGTGCGAAACGCGCTTGGCAAGGTTCTCGTAGAACTTGAGAGCCTTCTTGTAGTACTTGATGTTGTCGCGGTCGATATCGTGGTGCGATCGAATGGGTTCACGGAGCTCGGGTCCAACAACCATACCAGGACCCTCGGTCGCTGGGCCACCACTGAACAGCATGATACGGGAGCCCTTGTTCACGAATTGTGTCTCCAAAAGTCCAGCAGCAACACTGAGCGCGACACCGGTACACCTCAGAGGGCGCTTGTCGTTTGCGACGGGCCAGGGATCTCGCTGAAGGGCCTCGAGGGCGTTGGTCAATTGGAATTCGCACTGCGAAACGGGGAGTATGAAGCGTGCGCCGGCTCCTGCTGGGGGTGCCATAGGAGGTCGGCCAGGTTGTTGTGGAACGCCCGGTCGCGCAGCCATCTGGCTGAGGCCAAGCATCTCGTGGACCTGCTTGGAGGAGTAATCCTTGCTACCGCGGAAGACGTAGGATTTGGCGCACTCGGTGTAACCCAGCTCATGAACTTGAGCCTGGAGTTGTCAGCCAGTCATAGCAATACTGGAATTGTTCCACTCACCATAGTGCCATATGTAATGAGACCGACGAGAGCGTATGCGGGGAGAAGACTCAAGCTCATGATGATTGAATCCTTGAGAGCCTTCAGACTGTCTTCTTCCTGGCATGTGTCGACGACGAAGAGGAAAATGGGAGGAGTGTCTACAGGCTGAGGGAGACGGTACTCGATCGTGGTGCTAGCTGCGTGCAGCTCTGGGGGTATTTGCTGCTCAGAGATGTCCTTGTAGTGGGGTGGGAGAGAGTTGCGGTTGAGACAGAAAGGACATATCCAGACACGGGCGCGCATGTCAATCTGGCTGTTGGATTATCAGCCACAGTACATTTTGCATGTGTAGCATTGAGTCTCATCATACCAGAAGGGGTTGAGGACGGCCTTGCATGGTGCTCTGCAGACAACGGGCTGATATTGGAGCAGCGGGGAGTCGGTCTTCTCCTTCAGAGGGGTATATAGGGCGCCAATGGGGACGACAAGGCGAGATGCTTCCTATATGAATGTTCAGCATTCCCTTGACATGATTGCGACGGGCGAAGGCAGCGGTCAGCATACCATGCGCGAGCTTGGAAACGTGTTCCAACTGAGGCGGAGGCCATCTCTGTCCTCGATCTCGCTCCACTGGTCCTTGAGCGCCTCAAAGTCGGCCATGCTGGATGGTTGAGAGACGTCTCGGTATATTGAGACGATTGGTAGGAGGGAGTGTTGTAGTAGGACAAGGTTGGTGCTGGAGGGCAGAACCGAGGGCGCCCACGATAGGTGACGGACTTGGTGGGGCTACGAGAGACGTGCGCCGGGCGAGAGTCGAGCGGTGTAGGGGAGTTGGGATGAGGACAGAGGAGAGAAATACGTTGCTGCCTCTTGACCAAGCACACGATATGGCAACGTCTCAACTCCAGAGCTCCCTTGGATAAGCTACATATGCGTGGGTACTCGAGTTGGCGATGCGGCCAGATGTTCTTGCCCTAGCGCGCCTGATTGGGCATAGCGCGCGGTGACGGCGTTCAAAACCTCTGATTTTCTCGGGCTGTTCTCGCTTCTTCTTTCTCTTCATCACCGCCAGCTTCACAATACTACGTAACGGCAGGCTCCTAGTTCTCCAATGAACGAGCCTGTTTTCGCGCTGCGCGCAGAAGAGATATAGGCCCATGGCTGGGCGCCCGATCTGGAAAACTCGTTCCGAGTATACTGAGAGGTTGGGAATCAGCAGAGGTCACATTCGAAGCGTTTTTTCTCTTGTTTATGTGCTTGTTTGGGCGCATATCCCCCGTCATTGTTTTTGCAGCGCGCAAACTCAATGTCACGTGGCTTGTTGTGCCCGACATGACGTTCTCCATAGTCGTCCACCCATGTCGGATGCAATGCCCCGGCTATTTTTGAATCACTTCACTCCACCCTGGCTCTACCCTGTCAACATGCATTGCTGCCTTTCACCTTGCGTTCCCGGAGCCAGCATCCTCCGTGGTCATATTCTATTCTTTGCTGCGACTTACGGTTCCGTGTACTGCAAGTATACTTGCCAACAGCCTTTGTTGTCTATCATCACACGCTTGTTGTCACGACATGGAGCTCTCCACGCGCACGCACACGGTGATGTCAATTGAAGCTGACGAAGCATCCCCGCGAAGACTGCCTCGTATTGGGAATGCATTTGTTGTCGACCTTGTATCCACTGCCATGTACATACAGAATGCCATTGGGTTTCGCAGATTACTAACCACGGACCCCCCAGGCAAATTGTACTCGGTGTAGCATTCTACTTTTACCCATGATGCTAGCGTCAGCTATCTGCGGCCTGTTCAATCTAGCTTGCGTTTCCATGGAGTGAAATGAGCCAACCCTGTGACGGGTGACCCTTTCGCTGGGGAAGGTGGTACCAAGGGCTTGTTTGCTGTTAAGCTTTCCTTGCCTCTTACCTCACACATGTATCCAATGCTTCAGTCACTCTGTCCAGCCCCTCGTTCAGCATGCCTTCTTTCTATTCGGCTCCGGCTACTGCTACTGCTATCGCTTTGGCTTTGATTCTCGTCTACACAATCGGTTCACTGTCTACGCACGATCCTACATCCATCTTCTTCAACGCGTCCAATGCCTACACCCCGCGATATTCTGCTCTGAGATACCAGCAGGCCACGGCGTACGTCTCAACTTACAACTATACATCAAGCGCCAGTCTGTTAGGAAGCAAGGACTCCAACAAAAAACTATGTGTTGGCATACCCTCAGTTGCGCGTCATGGCCCACAATACCTACTTGGTGCCATTGGGTCTCTGTTGGATGGCTTGACAGTGGATGAAAGGAGTGATGTCTACCTCATGGTGTTTATACCGCATTCAGACCCTAAAGCCCACCCAGCTTATGGAGAAACATGGCTGTCAGGGCTAACCGACCGTGTACTTACATATGAAGGGCTTGATGCAAAAGAAATGGCTCACGTTCGCAAAATGGAGGCTCAAGGAGGTGCTTTCAAAGAGAAGGGACTGTACGATTACTCGTATCTGGTATCCAAATGCGCAGAGTTTAATACGCCGTATATTGCCATTCTCGAAGACGATGTCCTTGCCATGGACGGATGGTATCACCGTACCGTCAATGCACTGTTGGACGCTGAGGACCAGTCAATACAACGACACGGAAAAAAGTTCTTGTATCTCCGCCTATTCTACACGGAGGCTTTTCTGGGCTGGAACTCGGAAGAATGGAAGACATATCTCTTGTACTCGCTCTGCTTTGCTGTCATGCCGGCAGCGATTGTTTCTTTTCTGCGCATTACAAAACTTCCACCAAAGTTTCCGCTGCTACTGAACACACACCTGCGTACATCAGAGGTGCGCAATGGATACAGCTATCGTCGCCTAGTAGCCACATTCTACGTCCTCATGGCGGCATCCATACTGCTTTTCTTCGCATTGGGGCGCATGACTGTTCTACCTCTTCCCACTGGAGTTCATGAAATGCCGCGGTTCGGCTGCTGTAGTCAAGCTTTTGTCTTCCCCAGGCAGAAGGCTCTCGAGCTAGTCTCATATTTTGCAGAAGTGAAGACTGGATACGTTGATGTTTTGACGGAGCACTATGCTGACGCGAGGGGTGAGTTGCGGTATGCTATCACGCCGAGCCTGTTCCAGCATGTTGGCAAGACGAGCAGTAAGATGGGATCGCAAGGGCCAATCATCAAAGGAAAGACGTGGAGCTTTGCCTTTGAGAAGTACGATGTAGAGAAGTTGAGACGAGAGCATGAGACTGTGGGAAGGTGGAAAGATGGGGTGGAAGAAGTACGGTAGATCGAGTCCGCGATACGATAATAGATGGTAGTACTTCACTCTTTATATATCATCTCCCTTATATATAGTTGTGACAAATGAACACTGTGCCCATGCCCTCAAAGAAACAAACCCATAACTAAAGCGAGATCTGGTTATCACTTACATTGATATGTTTTCTATTGAAGCATCCTCCTGCGTATACAAAAAGTAGCTATGCAATGTTCCATCCGTGCGGTAGCGCCAAGCCCATTTTATCGATAACATCACGTGTGATCTCTCCAGCAACTTGGCCAACTCAGCGTTCGACACATATCACATGCGAACTTTTCCCAGTTAATTTTGTAGACATGGTACATACGACCATCGGAGAAATAAAATTAGGCATCCCGTCCGATCTGCCCTATACAAGCTTTCTACCGGCGGATTAGTAGTTAGGTGGGTGACCACTAGCGAATCCCCGCTGTCGTATGTTTTTGTTGGCGACTTTTTATTGTTTGGTCAATCTCTTCAAGTCACGTGATATGTCTTGGCACGTAAGTAGTATGTATAACATATTGAGTAGTTCACAAAACAATGACAACTATGTTTGCACATTCGCCAAAAGTAACAGCAATGAATGAATCGGATATAATGGTATTTATCTTAAGATGGTTCTCGAAGCCAAACACCCTAGGTAATCGCTTTCGGTAGACAGGATTATATCGCGTCTGCAATGCGGGTCCACGCGGGGCTGCCAATCGGTGGAGTCTGACTTCCACATGCAGCCACTAGTTTAGCGAGGGACCCTTCTTTCCCAATCTACCCGCTCTGTGCAAGCGCCTCCAACTACAACTCCATTTTTTTCTTCCACCGTACCCAAAACTTTACACAAAACCACCACAATGCCTATCTCCAAGAAAGACCGAGTATGCTAGTCCTCCGTCATCAGCCAAACGAAAAAATTCACTAACACCGCCTGCACAGATCCAACGCGAACACCGCAAAGCCGAAAAAGCAGGCACCCGCGCCCCCGTCAAGGCGAACGGCCTCCCTGTCAAGCCTCCCAAACCAACCTCCATTGTAGGCATTCCCATGCCTCCACCGTGAATCCACATCTCTCTTGCAAATATATTGTTATCTGCATGAGGAACACTTTTTTTTCGCGGAAACAACTAACGGCACGCCCACGCGTGGGGATACTACAGTGCCAGAACTGCCGTCGCGAAATCGTAAACACGAACAAAGCGCAGCTGGAGGCGCATGCAGCGAGTCATGATTCGGTAGCCTGGCCCAAGGAGAAGTGTTGGCCTAATGATTTTTCATGAAGAGGGGGCCGGGTTGGTGGGGTGAGATGAGGTTATGAATATGTGGGAGTGAGTGGGATGCATAGTGGATATACAGAGCGAAGCAAGAGGCTTGAAGAAGCTGAGTTGGGATACGGGGTGGGGGAGCTGGTACTGAAGAAGGGGTGTTTGAAAGTCGTACTCGTTTGAGCATGCTGACGAGCGAGACGACAGTGCTTTGTGATACCAGATATATTTGGAACGAAATAATCTATTGTAACCAATGTGGAGAAGCGAGTCTTTCTCGTAACCATTCCACAACACAACCCTGTTTTCAAAAGAAGTCAGTTTCTCAAGTTGAGAAACAATAGATGGATCAAATGGTTCGTCCTTTTGCTACATACATTGAATATGTCGTTGTGAAAAGGCCCCTGCTACGATCTGCCGCACACGTCATTCGTGCTCCTTTGGGTAACACAATACAGCTGACGACCTCTTGGTTTTTACTCTACACCAGGCGTCATCGCTCATATTGGTGACATGCCCTTGCCAGCACAAGTCTTGCTTCTCTCAGGCCTCATTGTTTTGGCTAGCCTTGTAAAACATATCCATCGACTTTCGCAACCAAGCGGTATACCCTGGGGTTGATGGACTGAGAAACCCCCAAACGAACCGGCAGAATTCAAACGCTTTATCATGCTCGCCTCTTAGCTGATAGCTACAGACAAGGCTTCCTGCACAGTATAGGGAAATTTTGTTTCCTGGTCCAAGTGTGTCTCGGCAGAACTGCCAGCACCTCAGCTGGAGGTCCAAACCTTTCTGATCGTTTCTGATGTTTCGATACGTGTGCATGAAGTCTTTCACCCAGATTCTGTGAGCCTGCAACTGCAGATCGAGTTGTTGTAGGATGACTGCGTCTAGTTCTACTACTTCTTCTGGCGTGTCGGAAGCAGCGTATGTTCGGGCGATGGCTCTGAAGAGTATGCGCTGAGCAAAGTGCATAGGCAACGATGTGGATAACATGGTGCGTGCGGCTTCTTTTGCACACATGAGTTCGTTGTGTTCGAGCCCGGCTTGATGATAGCGAGCGAGAAGAGCTAAAGCCCACTGGCAGGAGACCACGGATGGCATTGACTGCTTGACCAAAGGCCAGAGGGCCTCGCGCAGGGCGACGCGGTCAACTGCATTGCAAGGCAGCATGCAGGAAATGTATCTATCGGCTTTCACCAGGTAGTGTTCATTGGTATAGGGTTTGAGGCGGACAATGCTTTGTATCTTAAAGACCGCCCTAAGAATCAGGCGTCGGCAGCTGTTGAATGCGCGGTAGATTACCGGGTGGGTGAGGATCAGCCGCTTTAGTGATATCAGATCTCGGCACTTGATTAGCAGTTCGTAGAGTATGTCGTCGGGGAGCGTGTGTACATTGAGAGCACACATGGCTTGTGACGGCAAAGCAAAAGGTATGATGGTGAGCCAAATGTAGATAACAAGGGGTAACGGGCATATTTGGCCTAGGTACTCATATATTGGCACAAAGGCTGCCTGGCCCAGCTTTGATATACCCCATGATAATTTTACGTAAGGCCACTGACCTAGCCTCTGGGAGCACAGAGATGTCAAGTTAGAACAATACGACACGCCTTCTTTTACCAAAAGCTCGATAATAAACACGGTATCAAATGAACAGTGCCCGAACGTACATTAAGTCTGCTCAACACATGTCTCTTTTTACCAATGATTACTTATAGATTCCACCTGAACTGACACCTCTTGTGTCCGTGTGATGACTAAGTCTTCTTCTCCCTTACTGCGATGATTAACATGTCGACGATTGAAACTCAGAATACTCTCTTGGCTCTCCTGACCTATCGTCGTGTCTGATATCCCCGTCTTCTTGTGTCGCCTGGATGACCGAAACGTTTTGCTCCCGATTGTGATCAGCTTCGTGGCATTTTGGCCATGTGATTCATAATCACTTCGTCCTCGCTCCCCTCTTGTGCTGCCAAATACACCGCGACCGAAGATTCGATCAATTAGTGGCTGGAGAGTTGGAATGCATGCGGCGATGATGATTGCATTTCCTTCAATGCTAGTCCAGATTGTGATGTCGGCAGTGTCGTCTAAACGATCGGTCAGCATATACTTGTAGCTTTGAAATGAGCTTTCATTTACAACTGAAGTCGGCACTTGCAAGTGCAGGTAGCCTAGTTGACTTGTAAATCGCCACGGCTGCAGCTCTGTCACAAATCAGAAGTCATTTTCGCACAAGTGTTTGCAGACCTACATGGAGCCTAGCCCGAGCGCAAAGCTGAGAGCGATCTTTTTCTTCACATTCATCTGTAGTCTGTAGAGAACAACAGCCGGGTATATTGCAAGGTAAAGATCTACAATGGCGGATATAGCTGTCAAAGTAAGCCGAGTTCCCTATTTCATACGGGTGACGTACTGCCAGCAACAATGGCATAGTATACCAAAACCCAGGGGCTCCAGCAGGTGCCTTTAACCGTGAAGTCCCACTGCGATCGCGTCGGCGTGCACTGCGCAAAAAGAATGACAACACAACCAAGCAAAATCAGCAAGCAACCGCTAGTCATTGACCAAAGGAACACCGCGTGACCTCGGCTAGGGTTCATGATTCTCGTTAGGAGTGCTACCACGGCTAGCTTGGGTATCCCAAATGAGAGTATTCCTGGGCAAAATCCCGCAATAGTGTACAGTATGGCGTCTGATTTCTGCGCAGTGGTGAGCAAAACGAAATGACGACCATTGCCGGCCCGTACGGCGGCTATCGTCAGGCCAAGCATAACGTAGCCACATATCTGCTCAATGCGTCAGTATCTTACGTCGCGGAGAGAGCCCTGGAGAAAACACTTGCCATAGATAGAATCATGAGCCAGTCATCTAGGCCAATATGTGATTGGATTTTGCCTCTGACATAGAGTCTTGCAGCCACAAAGATGGTGGCCAGAGCAGTCAGTGCGATGCATACCGCTAAGATTGTAGGCCCCTTGTCTTCGTTGGCGAGATGTTCAGGCAAATCTTTTGGTACTAACATATCATAATCAAGCCCTACCAGGAGACTAAATAACTGTCATGAATTTCTGGGGAAGACTGAGTGCCTCTGCGACAGGCCGATGAACGTAGACTTGTCTTATACATTGCTCATGTCCCTTACAGCATCGTAGATCTAGTCTGAGCGTCTAATTCTAGGTTGTTGCATCTTTTCCTAAGAGAAATGATCCCGCGTTCTTCGATGGACGTTCTGCTCAACGGAAATTTGCTGCCGCGGATCACTACCGCGCCGCAATGGGAAATGCAAGTCTACGCAATCAACGCGCGCCAACACTGAATGATAGTGACATCCCTTGCATAACACATGCCGGAGAACTTCCAGTGCATATGTAAACTGATCCTTTAATTTCTCGATGCAGATCAGTCCTTTTTGTTCGCTGTTGGTGTACAAGGCATGTAATATAAAGGAAGGCGGAATCCTCCTCGCTTGTTACGGATAATTGAGTACCAAGTTACCACGACGTCAGCGCATATGCTCATGATGTTTCAACCAGTGCATATGGATTGATACTAATAAAAACATCTTGAGGCAGTCTATTGGACCATTTCACAACCACACGTATGAAGATGCGCTCGAGTCATCGCTGAGCCAACCGTCCGTGCCAGTGAAGTTGTCCCCAACATCGCGCTAATTGCGGCACAGCGGACCAGTCGAAATGTTACCGTATAGCCGCTCTTGCATCATGCTCGTTTACGAGGCGACAATTTAGCGCTCCTTCATCCCCAATGCTATGGTTTGTGTTGCGGACATCAACCAATCAAGGGTTTGACCAGCTAAGTCGGGCGCGGAGGCACTCCGAGCCCTTGATTCTGTCAAGTCCTTCCAATTCAAGGAGGATCTTACGCTATGAAATAGATTGAGCCTGCATGGTCATACATGCTCGTAGTTCGGGAGATGTTGAATGTATGGCTAGTGTTGCTGTGCCTCATGGTACACAACGAGTCAAGATCACTTATGGAAAGCGGCCATAAAGTCACTGCCGTCCGTTTAACACCTCATCTCAGAGAAATATCTGCCTTACAGTTCAAACAGAGTTCATTTGAACGCTATCTTAATCCCTGCTCGCTCAGGCACTTCTTCACCAAGCCCATCATTGGCCATGACTGTACCTCTACTCGACGGCGGCCTTGCCGTACGCGCCAATGATCCAGGGGCTGTTCCTAAGATACTAGAGAAGCTTCTGATGTTTAGAAAATCATCGATTACTGAAGGCAACGACGGTCGTCTGGATATGCTCGCACTCGCCAGGAGTCTGGTGGTGGCTCTGGAGACTCCCCGGGAAACAATGATCAAACACAACTGGGTGCAAGTATGCATATCAAGATCCTAGGATTAGACGTACCTAATTTTTCTTGCAGCCGGGCTGTCATGCGGCTATTACGGCTTGCTACAATGCAGGTGTGTTCAAGGCACTTGCCAAGAAAGACAGGCCAACAAAGGTCGATGAGATTGCGAGCGAGCTCGGAGTTCCTCGTCAAACATTGGGTAAGCGTACAGGACTGGTAAATTTTCACGGATAAACTCTAATATTTGCAGCTCGCATGATGAAACACATCGCAGCTATGGGCTATATCAAGGAGACGGGAACTGATGAATATGTACCAACAAACTTCTCTAAAGCGCTAGACATACCCATCATCGGAGACGGTTACCCTTGCCTGTAAGTGCTAGAGAATCGACTCATTGCTACTACACTTGATTAAAAGACTGACCTGATCAGTGCCGGTGGAGCCCACCCGTCCTGCAGCAAGTTCCCAGAATATCTCCAAGGAACCAACTACGAGCTCACATCAGATATCGAATCCGGACCCTACCAGTTTGCTTTCAATACGAAAATGAGCATGTTTGAATATATGATTTCTCATCCGCCATTGGGTCAGCAGTTCAATCATCACATGAGTGGATATCGACAGGGTCGACCGAGTTGGATGGACCGTGACTTTTACCCCGTGAAAGAAAGGCTCATGAAAGGAATGGATGCATCTGAAAACGCAGTGATGCTGGTAGACGTTGGAGGAGGCCATGGCCACGACATTGAAGAGTTTAGGTACGGTTGTAGGAGCCTAATCACAACATGCATACTAACAAGACATCTAGGCTAAAACATCCCGATGCGCCTGGTCGGTTAGTACTGCAGGACCTTGCCCCTGTCATTGATAGCATCGAGAGTCTGCATCACGATGTCGAGCGTATGAAATACGATTTTCATACTGAACAGTCCATCAAAGGTCAGTCAGTCTAAAAACTTAAAACCGCAACTGTGAAAACTGACTAACGTTAACAGCGGCTCGAGCATACTACCTACACTCAGTGCTCCACGACTGGCCTGACGAAGTATGCAAGAGTATCTTGGAGCGGGTTACCGGTGCTATGAAGCAAGGATACAGCAAACTACTGATCAACGAAATCATCATTCCAGACCAGGGAGCAGACTCCGAGGCCACAGGACTGGACATGATGATGATGACACTTTTCTCGTCCAAGGAACGCACAATGGAAGAGTGGAAACGACTGTTAGAATCACCTGAACTTGGTCTAAAGATCGTGAAGGTATGGAGTGTCAAGCACTCGCAGGAGAGCTTGATCGAGTGCGAATTGGCATAAAGTGTGTTGGATGACGACATTTACAGCCAAATGAAATTCTAAACTTGGTTTCCAGTACATCTGCCGTTTTCCCAAATATCTCGCATTCACCGTAGTACTAGAAAACGATGAAAGCTGTCTGGTCAGTATGTCCTTAGCCCTCCGCGGAGCAGCGCTTAGCCCGCATCCTTCATGACGCGGAAGGAAGCTGGCCCTTGATAAGCCAAGAACAATTCAATGCATGTGCATGTGCATATGTAGTATATTCAGAATACTGCATCGGTCCGAATTTGAGCGTTTATCATGGTGGGATCGTCTGATTCCACAAGTGATGATAGCCGGAAACCTAGCAGCCAGCACCCTTGCAGGGTTTGGTCCACGCCTTTTCCAAATGAAGCATATGCGCGTTTATTGGTGAGCTGATGATACCACTGTTCTGCAAGCTCAGAACATCTCCTCCGCTGCAGTGAATGTTACACGGCGCCGGAGTAGAGACCTCTTCGCCTGCGATAAAAAGCCTCTACTTGATGAAGCCATGTGAGATGTATCTTTTAAAGGAAGTATATCCAACACCAAGGCGGTTGAAGTATTTGGTCATGTCGGACGTATAGATATGAAGAACGATACTATAGTCATTAGTTTCATTGGCCGTGAAATCGATGTACTTGTGTCGCGGCGTTACTACCCCCTCGTCCCTCCTTCGACCAGCGCTAGGAACTACGGAAAATGATGCTATATGGCACACGATATATGAAGCCTTGCTGCTACTCGGATATGGCGTTGTGCAATAGATATGTTGATTCGTAATGACCAGCAGAAGCCTTTTCCATCCATCAGTTGCGCTGACGATATGTATACTTACGGAACGAGGTGGAAAGATTCTCAAGTTGAGAGAGATGAAAATAATAGAATCAGCTAGACAAAAACAACTGACGTGTGATTCATTGTACCATAGCTTAACACGTGCGTGGAGTTCGGAGTATCTACAGGATCCTAGTCCTGAGCGTCTACCATGGTATCTCTGTAATGACTACTATATTGATCCTCCAATCCCTTACGAAAGTGTCAAGTGCTAGCCTGCACTACAAACCTATAGAAAACAACACCACTTAATACAACAACGTAACAACTACACAATTCAACTGCCAAAGAAGCCCATCACAATTCCCACCATGACATCCGTCATCATCTTCGGCCCGACTGGCCAAGTAGGATCTGCTGCCGCACGAACAGCCGGAGATCTTGGAGCCAAAGTATGGCTGGCAATGCGAGATACATCGAAAAGCATCCCTGGTCTCACCAAAGAGTCCGCTGGTGACTTTCATCGGATCCAAGCCGACCTGAACAAACCCCAGACCGTCAGCCAAGCCATTAGGACCTCTGGAGCCAAACGCGCGTTTATCTATTTGATTCATCATGAATATGAACACCTCCACGACGCCATAACTGCAATGAAAAACGAAGGCGTCGAGTTCATCGTCTTCTTAAGCAGTTTCACAATCTATACCAACCAAGCCCTCCGCGCCATCTCCCCACACGATCTCCTCCCTTTCGTCCACGCCCAAGTTGAAGCAAGCCTAGAAGAACTCTTTGGTCCAGATAAATACGTCGCTGTGCGCCCCGGATGTTTCGCCACGAACCTACTATCAACCAGAGACGGCATCCTCGCAAACGACGTCAGATTGTATGGCGCCGAGTTCGAGCAAGACAATATAGTACCGAGTGACATTGGCAGCGTCATAGGCAACATCATCGTTTCTGGTTCCAAAGGTCAGAAAATCGTGTATCTTTATGGGCCCGAGGTACTCTCGATACGAGACAGCGTCGCAAGAATCGGCAGTGTTCTCCAGAAAGATTTAAAAATAGCGACTCTGTGTCCTGAGGAAGCATATCAGAAGTACATTAAGCGCGGCATGCCTCCGTCTTTTGCAGAGTACATGGTTAAGACGCTGGGTACCAAAGGTCCGGATAAGGGCGATGGTAAGCGGTTCCCTCACTACGAGGAAGGAGTAAGGAATATGGCACTTTATACGGGCCGGCCGCCGATGAGTCTTGAGGAGTGGGTGAGGCAGAACAAGACGATATTTGGGGCGTGATTGATAGCTTGTTAGTAGTTGAGATGGAAGAGTTTCTACCCGTGAGTGACGTGGCAAACAATGGAATCTCCTTTGCTACAATTAGCAGTCAGCAGTTACAGCAGCGGACAACGAAGCCAACTAGAGCAATAGGTAATTGATGCTGCACACCTCTTTGGCGCTATTTACAGGCTGACATCCTGATATCAGAGTGGACCCGCAACCCATTTGGTCCAGCTGATACTGGTCGATAATCTTCCCGCCCCTTGTACTGGATGCGTTCGAAATCTGGCGCTGCATTGGGCGGAAGAACATCACCGCTGTCATATCCTGAGTTCGTCCTAGAGGCAGTGCTGGGGGTGGATGCATCCTGAGTTTCAAACCTCACGAATAGTACTGCGAGCGCATTCCGAGCTTGACGCTGCGCTAAGAAACAACAACGTATATTTCAGCCCAGAAATACCTGTACACTCAATACGACACTGCAAACCCCACAAGTTCTGCACGGCTAAAACGAAAACGTGTATTAATATCTTAACATCATCTTCTTCCACGCTATCAAACCCGAGCTGCCTAAAAACCAAAAGCATCCAACAAACTATTCGCATCCGGCTCATTAAACTGCGTAGGCGACGGCTTCTTCTTCTTCTCCTCCCTTTTCTCATTTTTCTCCCTTTTCTCCTTTTCTTGCTCAGCATCTCCCTCTTCCTTGAGCGGCTCAGCCTGACTCTCTGCTTTCTTAAGTTCTCTGACTGGCAAATCAGCTACGACCAATGAACTGCGACGACGCAGCAGCTTTCTGGGATCAAAATCAAAATCCTCGGCGCTGGAGTTGCGTCCGTGAGTGTCGGAGCTCTCGCGTGGCATCGTGGGACTGAGCAGTGGCATGTGGTTGCCGGTAGCTTGTGACTTTTTCGTTGATGGCGGTGGAGGGAGTAGGAACTCCCACGTCTTGACCAGATCGAGTGCGAGAACATCACAGCCCATGCGGTCGTAGAGTCCAGCAGTGTGCAACACAAAGTCCCATTCCTCGCGCATGCCGATCATGGTGGCACCACGAAGCGTTTGTAAGCTCTTTTCGCGAAGCTGTTTGTATAGCACTACAAGAGCAGGGTCGTCGCTAAGGTAGGATTTAGCAAGTGGATCAGGGCTCTCGGATGTGTCGATGAGATCGGAAAGTGGTGTGACGAGTGCACGCACTGCCATATCCTTGCGGTTGAGTAGCCAGTAGGCCCAGGTTGCAAGCCACCGGTTTCCTTCCCGGGCAGCCTGGGGTAGAATTTTATTCTTGAGGAAGTCCAGTAATACAGGGGAATCATCGCCACCATATACTCGCGCGACAGCAATGGCAAGCTGTGTATCTCCTAGCTGAGTATGCAGCACGTTGACAGCCACGTCGAGGCGATCTGCAAGAAGGAAGAAGGAAGCAGCATATTCAAATCTCCTTCTACCCATGAGAGCATATGCGTTCTTAAGCGCAGCGGTCTTCCAGCGGTCTTCATTAAAGTTGTTCGATAACAATCGGTGTGTGGCGGTTTGTTCCCTTGACCAAGTTGCCATGCGCCATAGGCCAACAAGGACTGGCTTCTTATGCAGAGCCATGTAGTACAAGGCGCAGTCAACGGGGTTCTTTTCTTCTGTCTTGGTGTACTCGTTCCGGGCAATGACCTCGAATTGAGCGCGCAGCGCGTTCGTATCCGACAGCCACATGAACACTCCGCATTCCTTTGCGTGTTGCCATAGCATCTTTCCACTAAAATGCCTGCTGACGAGGTCGACCAGGATGTCTTGGCTTCCAGAATAAAAGGCCCAGACAATCTCACGCCATGAAATGGGACCTTTATGGACCTGGCTGAGGACGTGTTGTCGGAAAAAGAGCAAGAAGCGACCCGCGTTGTCATCAACCGAACGACGATGCCTCTCAACCATGCCAATGCACTCGATGATATCAGCTAGACGAAATTGTTCGCGACTTGAAAGCAAGGGTATCTGCTTCTTAGTCAGAAGCTCCTTGAGATTTGACGCGACTTCTTCAGTAACAGCCTCCGGTTCGCTATCATCTGAGTAATCCATGTACGACGAGTGTATGTCTTTCTTGGATGTAGTCATTTGGGTCTACACGTGTTAGTAATCGTCTTATCGAATCCACCAGTATACACACCTGGTCCTCTGAGAAGTCCTCTGGGGCAAAGCCCAGTGTGCTGTCAAACTCCTCGCCCTCAATCCAGAACTTGAGCTTCTTGTAAAGAGAGATCAAGATACGCTGCACCAAAAGCAGCTTACCAGCCAACACACATTGCGATAGCAGTTGAGGATGGTATGCCGGTAGCGGGCCATTAAGACGGCTGACAGCCTCAAAGATGTCAACATGTGCAGTCTTGCGCGACAAAGTTCGTAAACTGGGAAAAAGACTGTCGGTTATTTCCACATGCTCATCTTGTATGAAGAGCTGGTTGCCTGCGCCTATGACTAGATTGCCACTCCCTAGCCATACTGAGTCACCAATTGGATGGGGAGTGATGTCTCGGATTCGCACGTCACCAATCTTCACCCATGATGGACCGGCGTTGAGATAGTCGTACCGCAGCTGCGCATAGATAACGACACGGTGAGGGAAGCCGACAGCGAGGATAGACTGGTTATCCGGAGTGGATGACCAATCAAGATCAGAGATGATGCCATTTCCCTCAAAGGTCTCCTGATGCTCAAGCTGCGCACTACGAGTGTTCCAGATGGTCAGTGTGGTCCGTTCAGCGTCCACCAACGCGGCTTTTCGTATTGAAGTACCACTGGCAAGCGAAGGGCTTTGTACCCCAGTATCCACCTCAGAAGTTAACAACCATTCGAGATCCCGCTTTTCGAGATTGACGCGGGCAGTCCAAGACTTGATGACTCCCAACTTGGTGTACGAAATGGCAGTGTCTCGCGCAAATGCGTCAAGAAAGCCGGAGATTACAGGCGCCGAACCTGCAGGATCCACAGGCAATACGAATGCAAGGCCGTCGCCAGAGCCAAGGTCAAAGACAGAGAATTGCTCGAGCGAAGCGGGTGCATGGCCATTTGTGTACCCATTGATATGTGTACCGTTGAATGGGTTTCTTCCGATAGCCGGATCTCTTTCTAGTACTGGCAGTGTAACTTCCCAGCATATACCCTTCATCTCAGAGCTGACTGTGGCAACGTGAACGCGCCTCCCGTCGTGGTCAATCTCAGGAACGACCAAAAGACACAAGGGCTTCCCTTGTAACTCATAGGGACGCCGCATAACTTCGACAGCTTCGTGTCCGCGAGTATCCCATAGCGAGATTTCCTTGTGGTGCAGAAAGACAAGGAAGTTGCCTTCTTGCAAAAGCGCAGTGCGGTGGATGTGCTCAGTAACCTTGATACTGCTGTGACGATGGAGCGTCATGCCGTCGTCCCCCTGTCTGTGTATCCACACTATGCACTCATCGGTAGTGGTGCGCGACACAAGGGCCTTTCCACTGGCAGTACGATTGACTTTCTTGATAGCATGCGAGTGTCCTGTCCACATGGCCTTGCGTTGCATGCGTTGTGGCTGCTGCGAAGGATCAAACAAGTAGTCGATACGCGCCTCCAGCCACTCCATGCGGCCGTCAAAGTGATGCGATAATATGGTCAGTTCAGACTCGGGGTTTTCGTCGATAAAGGCATAGAACTGCACATTGTCCTCGATGGGTTTGGGCTCCTTTGCAAAATGCATGCGCAGTCCATCGACGTGAGCAATATTGAAGACGTCAGTCACCTTTTTACTCTGGGCACCGACGTTTTCGAACCCCCATGCTGACATGTTGCCGCGATCGTCGAGCACAACGCAGATCTCGGGACTGCGGTTCGCGACCTCAATCAGGTGATGGAGCGCTATTCCGTGGTCCTTTTCCTGGGGTGAAGCCTGCTGCATTGCTCTTTCCGTCGCTTGTTTGAAGTGTTTGCCGTCAATGAAAAAGGCGTACCGCTTGCTCGATTGGCGGTCCAGCGGTATGTGACGCTCCATGATGGCCTCCATCAGGTCCACCTCAGCCCACATGTGCATACCGTCCACCCCGTGGTGCTCTCCAGGCACCCAGACGCGCACTTTGTTGTCGGCGCATATCGTGTAGAGCACATTGTCGGCCAACTGCTCCTTGTGGAGCGGATACCGCCAGTGCAGGCCGGTGATTGCTTTGGGATGGGGGAGATAGAAGTAGTCGAATCTCTGGTCTGCGGAACCAAAGGCTGTGCGACGCCATATCTTCAGTAGTCGGTCGTGCTGGCCGGTTGAAGCTATCAACTCGGCGTCAGGCGAGAAGTGGGCAAACTTGACGGGGTTGGCCAGCTGTTTGGACCACGTATGCTCGATATCGCCATGGGTATTGAACAGGGTCAGCGAAGCACTGCCAGCGAGAAGTTCGTCAGGCATCCCCCATGAGAGCGTCGTGATGGTGTCGTCGGCATCGGGCAATGCCATGCTGCCTTGTAGCGACCACTGCAAACAACATCAGCGGCCATCCACACCCGTTGCCTTGTGTTCCCACCTTGATAGCGCCCTCATCCTGCCCGTACGGTCGGTATACATAAATTTGTCGCGTCGAACATACAGCCAGCTTTCCTGTGGCCTCGTTTATTGCGACTGCCTCGAGCTCAAACTCGTCGTCTATGTAGAGCGTCTGCAGCACATGGTTGGGCCGGTCGAGAAGAATCAGGGCGTTGCCGGAGATGTAGGCCTAGTTATGAGTGGCGTCAGTCCCAATGCATGCGACAAGGTCGTGGTCTGGCGTACAATAATCTGGAGGCCCTCCCACAAGCCATGGGCGACGGCCTGCAGCTTGGCCTGCGGGCGCCCAGGGAGAATACCGCGCATCGAAGTCTCGCGAGCGTTGCTACCGTGGATGCCACATTTTCGGGTGGCTGGATGTCGCGGAAGTCTAGGGAGTCTATGATGTCTTCAATCCGTTTCCAGGCACTCGGGAAGCGTTCGGTGGATTGCGGTGCGAGATGCGACATCTGGGGTCCCTGGATCCATGTGCTTGAAGCTCACGCGCACGATCCACATGCAATGTCGTCACTAAAAACGTCTTACATCGAATGGAAGCATCACCAATTCGTGCATATATCTTTGCGTCTTGCACGCTGCTTGCAAAATACTCATGTAGTACACGTAGTACACACGCTAACTGGTCATTGTCATCTGACCACAAGAAGAAACGTGTACCTCTAGACATGGCTGCAACCCTTCCGCAACCCTTCTCGGAATCGGAACACTAGCGCGGAACCCTGACCCTTGTGTTTCTCTCTTTCACCGTCACCAACACAGTCATTCAGAGCACTGCGAAGAAGAGTGTCGTGTTCCGACTATCTGCCCTCTCCTAACACTTCCACGGCTCTATGCCATGGTCCTCTCCACCTTTCCTTCTACATCCCCTTGCTCCCCATTACCCTTCCACTCCACCGTCACTGTGATGCCTCGGTCATCGCCCTTCTCCTTCGCGTACGTCAGAGTACCCTCCAAGACAGTGCCCTTCTTAAAAGTCTGCTTCTTTGCAACCTCTGGATCCAACAGCAATACTGCCTGATGCCAATGAGTAGGCGTGTTGCTAGGGCCGGTTGAGAAGCCCAAGCCAGGGATGCCGTTCTTGCCCCAGTCGACGTTGTCAATCGTCTTGATATCCTGGCTACTTCCCGGGTGAATGAAGATGGTGTCGAACCAGATAGCGATTGCTTCCAGTGACTTTATGTCGCGGTCGAGCGTCATGCGAAGTGGGATGTTGAAGCTCAGATCTTTAATGGACACAGTCTTCATCTCCAGCAAATGGCTGTTGGCGCTTCCGCACAATGACTTTTCAGGTACGTCAAATACGCCAATCTCGTGCGTGTTGAGCAGACCGCCTGGTATCATGGGCGAAAAGTCGAATCCGTAAATGTCTTTCCAGAACTTCTCACCCGTGCTGTCGGCTATCCATTCGGCGTCGCTAATAGGCGCAAGACGAATGTTGCAGTGAGAGGGCACCATGATACCGTCAGGTTTCAGATACATGTCACGGGCGCGTAGGACAGAGTCGAGCATGCCTTCGAAGAGCAGACCGTAGCCCATCCACTCCGAGATGATAATGTCGACCTTTTCTTTTCCGATCCGGCGCTGTGTGTTGAAGTCTTCGGCTCTTCCTTGGATCAGCTCAATGCGATCTTGGTATCCATTCTTCTCGATAATCTCCTTTGCACGCACAGCAATGCCCGAGTTGTCAACGGCAAACACCTTCTTTGCCCCCGCTCGCGCACAAAACAGCGAAAGAATACCGGTACCGCAGCCAACGTCCATGACGGTCTTCCCCGCAAAGACATCAGCATTCTTCTCAATGAAGTCACGATATCCTTCTGTCCGTACGCGGTCCTCAATCATCTCTCGGTGAATGCTGTTACCCTTGTATGACTCAAAGTAGTCTTGATCACGGTCGTTGACAAGTTTGATCTTGGAAAAGTCCTCGGGCATATCCTTTTGCAATTTGGCCTCGTACTCATCGTAGTCGATGGCATTAGCATCGTCATTCGGCATTAGGTCGCCAAGTTCGAAAAGCAGAGCATCATCCTCTAGAACTGGCTGCAGGTACTTGTCGCTTGAGAGGTCATCTAATGTCACTTTGATGGACTTGGGGTCAGTTCCCTTTTGTGCTTCGAACCGCAAATAGTTGATCAGCTTGATAATTGTGATCTCATCTGCATCTATTGTCATGGTGAGTAGTTATCCTAAATTGGTTAGGCGCCAATGGTTCTTTTCGTTTACGCACCTGGCCCAAGTCCTTTGATAGTCTCTGTGAGATCAAAACCGTGTTCGGTCTTGTCATGCGCTATCATGTCCGATACGCGGGTCCATTGTCGATCGGAAAATAGATCTTTGAAAGTAGATGTATCCGGCTCGCTTGCGTCTTCAACAATGCTGCCCACGGAGCTGGCCGTGTCGGAATCTGTGTCTGACATGACTGTGTGTGACGACAATCCAAAAAAAAAGGTAAGGGTATCAAATAAGAGAAAAATTGTAAAGGACTGTGAAGGTTTGTCAAGTTGACTATAGTGGGGGAAAGTTCTGCGGTTAGTGTTTGCATTTGTGGGCGACACTGCGGGTTAGGCTCGTCACGCCCGCCGTACCTACGTCAATTTCCACACTACCGTGACATCTCCTCTCCTCTCCTCTCCTCTCCTGCCACATCGTCCTGTAAATGCCAAAGGCCCCAATACTGCCAATGCTTGGAGATACTGCGATGTATATACAAATCAATGAAAAGACAGAAGAGATATACTTACTAAGATGTCTCTTCACCTAAAGCATATATCAAGGCTCAGTAAATATGCCTGTCAATTCGAAGGAGATCAAAAGGAAATATCCGAGTTATAGCTATCACTCCACTAATCCTGCTTCTGTGAATACTGAGACTTGTCTCTCAGTAAATCGATTCGATGCCTAGTTTTTTCAAACGAACCTTGGAATTACGTTAATGATATCGCTGGACAAGGTCTCTTCGTATACCACCTTAGCTATCACAGCCTGAACAAATGCATTTCGCCTATATTCCAGCAAATGGAATCGAAATTACCCCTCCTAGGTCTTTCGGGTCCGCTGAGTGAATCCCAGTTGGTGCATTTTCTTGGCTTGTAGGATCTCATCTTCAAGTCTATGCCAGAGCAGTATGTAGGTGAAGACTTATCATAGCTGTGTCACCATCGATACATATATACTGCAATCTGCCGTCAAGATGAATTTAAGGTCAATAGAAAGCCAAGAGCTTTTGCACTGATTATCAAGAGGACTTGATCATAATAATATTCATTCTCACCATTTTATTGGTAAGCGCATTTCCGATATATGACGTATCGGTCGCCGAATCTAAAACTCAAGCCTGGGTCAAGTCAATCGTAGTCGGGCATGTGAACATGCTAATGGTGAAAACTGAGTTCCATTGGCTGAAAAAACGTCATCGGCCTCACAAATTAGGGGCATTTTACATCTCTCAGCCTTCTAGTCATTTGGTTCGGCTTGTTCGAACAGAAGATTATCGTCTTTGTCTACATCACCGCCATTTTCTTACCTACCTGCAGACGGTCTCAGACAGACATCATGGCGGTTCCATTTACAACAGCGGTGTCGAGAAATACAGACGCAAGTCACATTTCCGACCAATCCCAACGCAAGGAAAAGCATTTGACAAGAATTAATGATAAAGTTTAGCGGTGCCAGTAGCTTGCGGCTTGTGATTTCCCTGACTCGGCAATGCACCGATGTCCAGTTCGGGACATCAAGATCCCGAATAACCTTTCAGGCGGGCCCTCAATTACACTAGATACGATAACAACACCAACCAAAGGCTTACCTTCATTTCTTCTAAGTTTGAAATGAGTTTGGAAAAGCGATTTCGCGTGTTGTTTTCCAGCTGCATGTATCAAACCCCTGCACAAGGTTTTTCGTCATCCTCTGCAGGCAGAGACAAAAGCTGGGTAAAAAATAGTATATAGCATCACCTATTAACACGTCACTAAACTAGCTCACCCCATTATTGATTGTGTTTTGGACAAGTGACCTCTTGGCAAATGCGTGGATGATGTTGTTCCATCCTGTTTTGGATACGTAATAGCAGCGATGCTCGTGACCACAATGTTACAACACAAAGCCTTCGACCTTGTTCTGTTTCGAGTAATCAAATCTCTGTATTGAGGTTTGAGTTGATGTTACTCCCTTCACGTCAAAGCATATACATAGGTAGACAAAGCTTTTCTATGATCGAAACAGTCATCCAAGCCACAAGGGAGAAGCGATGAAGTCAAGCCCATAATCTGCACGCATTCGAGACTAAGGCCACATTCGCACGTGGTCAATTCGTCTACACCGACCTATTCCTATTTCTGTGCAAGTAATGAAACAAATTCCCCGATCCGGCGTCTAAACACGGGAGCTATATATTTCCAATACTTTTAGGTATCTTTTAGGTCCGGATGGTTTATCTAGCGGGCCAGAGATTGATTGCAGAAATCGACGACAATGATTAAAATTACTATGAAAGGAAACTGTGTTGCTCTGGTTGACGCTGTATATGATTCAGGAGAGGGTCATGCACGGTCTCATGTCGAGTAGAACGCCAAACTTTAGTAAATGACCACAACCACTGTTTTGTTGCAGTGTTCTACAGTGAAAAGGAACTTTCCTTTCTCAGGTAGTTTATTCATAATAGATTGGACAAGACTATTCCTGGAAAAGTGTTGGGGGTCATGCATAACTTACGTATTGATGAATGGCGAAGAGACGGTTGCTAAATGGTTCTCACATTGCTACCTAACCTACCTCTAGTATTCAAGGTCGCAAAACGGGATTGAGAGGTGAGAATGCATCGCCGTCCATGGGACACTCACTGCTTTCGACGGAAAGCGCAAAGGTTCTCATGTGTAGCACTGAAGGGTTGGTACCATGATCCAAGGTAGGTGGTGCTCGCACCACTGGTACAAGTGCCTAGCGTATAGAAAAAGGAGTTCTGTCAACGTTTTGCGCCATCTAGTGTCTAACCCTTGACATGGGCAGGGGAATCAATGGTACTTTTGCAAACTACTCGTTCTGGTAGTATCAAGACTGGTATGCTAGAGAAGACGGGTCGACGGGTTGATGTAGCCATGCATGATGCTGCTGTCGTACCGTGGAATCAGTCCGCATCGAGACAGGAATCGTTTCTGAGTATAACCGAGATTTGCTGCAGTATTCAACATTTGCTTCAAGCTTGCTTTCCACGGCATATCTACTACGCCACCGAGAGCGAGCCGAGTCAGCCACAGGTACCCGTGCCCTAAGGGGTTTCTCTTTCCGCGGAGCCCATAGGTGCATCCTTTTGCCGTCGGACCGCATTGCGACCGCAAAAGATCCGCCATAATCCACACTTTTTGATCCAAACTACCTTCTCAGGAAGTTGCCACCAGAAGTTGTGGATGTTGAAGGATCAATATAGTGATGCGGCGAGGTGGAGTTTCCAGGATGTGATTTGCCACTATGCCGGGCCGTCGCGCTTGGCCTCGAGGGACTGAACACCGACCGCCCTGGCTGTATTCCACGGATTTCTGCTGTAATCGACACCCTACTGTTGAACCTACCCTATCGAGAAACTGGGCATACATTAATACTCAATCTGGTTCGACGATCATACAGGGTAGCTTGATGAGCCAATTGGATTTGCTACGCGTGTTGCGGGTGATGGTATGGAGGGGGTGCTTATGGCGCAAAAGCCCAGAGAATAACTGCTATGACGAGTTAGCAATTCAAGTATGCTCTTATACCGAAACACCTTGGTATATAAGTGGATGATACATGTACAAGGTCAGATTGGACAAATGCGAATGGCCTGAAAGCTGCGTGTTGAAGAGCGCACACCAGAAGTGAATGCAGCCAGGGTACGGTAGATCATTGGTGGGCAGTAGAACCGGCGCCAAAGGTGGTCGTGTGCCAAGTATGAGGTAGGTTGTGTTCTGGCCATGAGAAGGTCCTTTTGTCGGTACCCAGTCAGATGCTGATTGCTGGAAATGCCATGTCATGGTAAACGCCGGACGAAAGTGAAAGCATTGGAGAAGTGGCAAGTGTGGCGGTGCGAGCCCATGTGAGCAGCTCTAGCCACGGTGACTTGGTTGACAGGAGCACAGTGCAAGCAGCGGCTGCAAAACCCTCTGACCTGTTCACCGTAGCGTCGTGTCTCCTCATCCTCTTCTTCCCACTCACCTAGAACCCAGCATGCCGCAATGAGTCTCTTTTCTTCCTTTATCATTCAGCCCGTGGTGCGCCATGCTCGTCGATTCTCAGGCGTTGTCCTGCCAGGCGAAGCGAGTGACGAGGGCAATCGGCCGCCTTTAGCATGTGATAATCGCGACTCTATACCCATTCCACCTCCACACCGCGACAGCATCGGCAGCGCACGTGAAGACGAGGATGCCGAAGCGACTTCAGCCACACGACCCACCGTCCCCATCGAGCTATTTGGCAGTTTCTCTTCTCTCGCCCGGCAGCCTCGCAGCGCTGTTGTTGAGCGAACAGATGGCCATGGTCGTGTACCAATAGACCTGGACCCCCCAGTCGAAATGACCGCGAATCGACCCGACACCCTCGCAGATCGGCTCGGCCGCATCCAGCTAGACCCGTCATCATCATCAACCGCCCTGCCGCCACCTCCGACATCGACACAAGGCTCTCCTGGCAGCACACGCAGCCAGAATGCCACGGCCATGTCGGAATCACTCCCCGCAGATGATGGCATGGCCCATCTCCGCACGCGCATCCATGAGATCAGAGCAATGGCCATTCCAGACCAAGATCGTGCTCGCATGATCCACGGCTTGATGACGGAGAAGTACAACTTGATGCGGCCAACGTCTCCTGCCAGTCTCGTATCACACGACCGTCCCTTCACCCCCACCTCTGGCGAATCCCTCTTCTCCGAAGTCCACGCCTCGTCGCCTTACTCATCCACCTCTGATACGAACCCCGACATTCCCTACAACCTGCGCGAAGGCGACACCAATCCAACATATCGACCCCAAAGCCACCACCACAATAACGGAGAGCATGGCGAGGAAGAAGAGGACGACGTCATTGAAGGCGAGCTTGTCCTTGGCTGCCAGCACTACAAACGCAATGTCAAGGTGCAGTGTTTCGAGTGTCGCCGCTGGTACACTTGTCGGCATTGTCACGATGCAGTCGAAGATCACAACTTGAACCGAAAGATGACACAGAACATGCTATGTATGCTGTGCGGAACACCCCAGAAAGTGGGTGACGTCTGCACCAATTGTGACACAGAGACTGCATGCTATTATTGTGACATTTGCAAGCTCTGGGATAACAATAGTAAAAAGAAGATTTATCATTGTCCAGACTGCGGCATCTGCCGGCGAGGCGAAGGCCTGGGCAAAGACTTCTACCACTGCAAGGTAAATCCACCATCCTCAACTGTTTCATA